AGTGTGTATTGTGTGAAAGCAGCTCTGAAAGGCACAGTGTTTGGGCCAGGAGTGCTGTCAGACGGTAGGTAGTGTGTTTGCTGTAGCAATATTCATCTCTATAATTTTCTGTGGCTTAAAGCAAATCCAGAGTTCTTGTATTTACTTCCCAAAATTCTATTTCGAAAGTGGCTTTAGTTAATGTAGTAGCCCGTAAAGTCTAAATTGTTTTTCTCTTAAAACAGAGAGTATCAGAAAGAGTAATTCTAACACCAACTGCACATCTCTCATGAAATACACATCTGCAGTCTGCTCTGTGTATGTAGATGCTCATGTCCGTGGAGTGGCCTGAAACCTGCCAAGTACTGCAGTAGCATCTGAGGCAGACTGCCATGCTGGATGTGAGCTTCTTTTGCTTCCTTCCTCTCCAGTTTTTCCCACATCTAGGCAGTTCTGTATCTTTCCAAAGTGATTTCTGTTGGTAGTTGTTGCTTCCCATCAGCGTTTGACTGTCTTCTGTCTTTCATTTTATTTGAAGGAGAGGAATTTGGACTGCAGCTACCCTCCCCGTTTTTAAGTGCTGTACTTTTTGCTCTTGAGCTCTGCCAAGTTACTGCAATCTTTGCCTGTGCAAAATTATTTTGTATTTCATTCTAACGTGGCTATTCTGAGATGTATGAATACTGTGTTATTTCTGTTCAGATGTTTATGAACAATTTTGACCTGTTGCTGCCCTCTCCAGTTGTTTGAATCATTAGCATGCCCTCAAGGGAGGTGAGATGGCACGTATATGGGTACAGCAGGAAAGGGCAGTGCAATTCCTTTTCCCTTCTCAGAAGTGGAGACGTTGCTGTTGTAGCTCTGGCTTTAAGGCTTGGTTAATTGCTGCAGAAAATCTCAATTCTCTGTCGCACAGTGGGATAAGCAATGGCTGATGGATCCAGGTCATGGGAGGAATACATCTAGATATCTACTGACCTATCTAGCCCTTTGTAGGAAAGAAGTTCTGAACTGTGCAGGAGGTGATGTGTGTTGTCCATGTTGTTTGCCTACAAAGGCACAAAATGAGCTTTTTAAATCTTTTAATGTGGGGTTTTGGGCAGCCCATGTTCAAGAGCACAGGTTTCTGCCCTTGGCTTTATTTAGTGTGTCCAGGAGCTGTGTTGGTGGGTAGCCAGAAGCTCTGCTAACCACTGCCTGATTCTCTCTCTGTCCATGTGGTTTGTTTATCTGTATCTGTCGCTTTTCTTAGCCTCTCTTCTTCCTCCAGTCCAGATTAGTTTGAGGAAAACCACATTTTCTTTTCCGTTATACTTGCACTTGAAATTCAAAGGGCAAAAAGTCCCTTCTTCACTCTCAGGAACTGAGAATTGCTATTGCTCAATGTCCTCATATCTAACATTGGGGTCTGAATCTACTTCTGGCACTGCAGCTCTGGCACTGAGGAGCAGCCTGTTGGGAGCAGTTTGCAAAAACATTTTGCAATGTGTCAATATTATCAAGTCAGTACTGGAACCTTACGTGAGCGAGTCTCTATCTGCTTACCTCATGGGGAAGTTGGAGCTTTCATGTTTCCAGAGAGAAATTGTCTCAACTCTGCAAAGAAACGCTGGCTTTTCCCTGGTGAGTCGGTGTGAAAAAGCTCACAAAGGCTTTCAGCAGCCCCACGTCCCAAACAGGCATCGGCAGCAAAAGAGGTCATCTGTAATTCAGTATTTCGTTCTGTGAAATTGCCAAGAGAAATTCTCCAAGAGAAACAATGCATTTACATGTACATTAACCAGTGTTTGCCAGCTCTTGGAATAAAGCCAGTTCTCTCAGGGCCAAACAAACACTCTGAGTGAATAAGTAATAATCTGCTATTGTCACTCTTAATTTATGGATGGGTAGATAGAGCAGTGTTTGCCATTTTAAGTTGTCCTATTTGCTTGGAAGGCTAAAAATCACGATTAGCTCTCAGCTTGGAATTGTGGAGTATCTCTGTTATGTCTGCTTATGGCTGATTTGCTGAATGCAGTTGTTGCACAAGGTTCAGAACCTCCTCTTATGGTATGAATAGTTGTGGCAGAGGATGAGAATGCATGAAGGTTACAGAAGCCTTAATTTTTCAACAAGTGCACTTAAAGGCAGTTTTAAAAACTTCATACAAATGTAAATGTGTAAGATTTACAGTTTCATGAAGCTGACAGCAACCTTTGTAAAACCGGGATGGTTAAAAGCATCCTCAAAACATTCTTCCAAGGACAAAGATGCACGATTTTGAATAGGAGCACTTAAAATTGTTCAGCTCTAAGGCCTGGCCCATATTAAAGACTGCAGAGAGGCAAATAGCACAGCGTCCCTGTGGAGCAGAGTTTGAAGCATTACAAGTCGCTGGTAAGATGAAATTCTGCTCAGAACGCCCTGTGAAGTCTTCTGAGAGATCTCTTGGCAGGTTGCAGAGAAGCGTGCAATATCGCACCTAAACACATAGGCAGGAGATGGGTGAGAATTACAAACCTCACGCGCCAGCTGCTGAGAGTGCAACAACATGGTGCAGAGATGAGAGTGGTAACTGGTGTCTGACTTCTCTAACAAATTGGCTTTCCCATCCACTTCTTTTAGCCTTTCTTCCACTTCCGTACAACTTTTTCTTCCATGTGTGTTTTTTTTCTTTCCTTTCTCTACTTTTCTCCTGCACTGTGGGAGCTTTCTTGCTCCTTCTGTCCAGACCTCAGTGTCTTACTCACCTCCTTGTGCTGCATCACTGTTTTCCCCCTCCCACACAGTGGTGTTAAATTTCCTCTCTATGCTTTTGCTAAATGAAATAACAGCAAGAGGGATCAGCATTGATGCTGTAGATGAGAGGATGCCCACAGCCTGGGGTGCTGGGCTGCAGCCACTAACACTGTAAGCAGTGGAGGAGGATCAGTGGTTTCTCAGCTCTGAAAGGAGGTTTCTAGACAATGAAAGAGGGTTTCTGTGCTGCAAAGCCTTAGCTGCCACTCGGTCTTGGTAAGATAAAAAGCTAAAATATCCCCCACTGGAGAGAAAGTCAAATCATATGTGATCTAAAGCTGTCGTGTCCTGGACTGTGGGCATCCATGCTCTGCACGTGAGCATTTCCCAAACCATCCGTGTGTCCTGGTGCTGTGATTTACACTGCTCCAGGCTCAGGGTACAACCCAAAGTTTTCATTGTTGTGTGCCTGCTGTTGTGTTGAAGAAAGGATCTACTGGACTGAGTGCTCCAGAAGATGCTCTACCAAATGTTGATGTGAGCAATGAAAAGAAATGAATTGTGTTCTCAAGACAGTTGGATCTTGATAAAAGTGTTAAAGAACCAAACCACCACCACCATACAGCCCACAGACCCAACAGCTTGGAGGAATGTTTCTTGAAATTGCTTTAAAAGATGGAGCTATTGAGATTAATGTGAATTAATCTATACAAAGTAAGAAAGATACCTACTTAGATCTCAGCAGCAGCAGCAGCAGGTGCTTGCTGCATTATAAATAGAAAGCAATACAAATTGAGGTGCTTATTAAATTTGCCTTTATGATGCTTTGAAGAATTGCAGAGGAACAGAAAAGAAAAATTACCAGTGGCGCTGGCTTAGGAGGGTGACTTAAAATAGCTGTGCTGCCAAAGAAACCAGAATGTAAGCTAGAGTAACTGATAGACTTGTTCAGGAAGGTTATCTCACAGCAATTCATCCCTCACACGGAGAGGTTGACTGAGAGCTGTGCAGGGATGTGATTGAACAGTGGAGGGCTTAATTTTCTGGACAGTTTTAATAAAGTGTGGCATTTTAATATATTTTCCAACAGATTGCACTCTAATCCTTTCTGGGATTGCTGGTGTTTAAAAAGTTTTTCCTTGTTTCCTTTTGGCCCTTCTCCCTGTTGACAAAAACTGATTCTGTAGGAAATGTTTATGGTTGGGAAATGGATTTGTTCAGAATTCTTGCTGTCTTTTTGGATAAGGCTTTAGTGAGGATCCTGTTTGTCCTTCAGCATTTTGTACAACTTTGGAAACACTGCAGCATCTCCACGGAGAGGTGGCTGAACAGGGTGGCTAACAAATGGTCTTGTGGACCAGATTGGAGCAGCAGGCTCAACGAGAAGAGACACCATTAAAAATGAATCAAAATGAATGATTTTTTTTTTTATCTTTAATGAGATACTCAAATTGATTGAATTTGGCAGGGAGCGCACTAGGAAATTGCAGCGTGGGGAAATCAGGTGTTGCTGCTGGGATCAGTGAACTGGCCTGTGTGAGATGCTGGTTTCTACCTGCTGCAGCACTGGCAGGGTTGGTGGTGGAGATGAGTTCTGCTGGGTCACAGCATCGCTTCTGCACCCTTCTCATCTCCTTCTCTTTTGGGAAAGGCACAGCTGGTGTACGGACAGTGAAGGACCTGCATTAGAAATGGAAGTAATGCACATACACACATGCAGAACAGGTGAAGTCATTGCTGTGTGAAGGGAGAATAGTGAAGCTCTGCTGATGATAAAAAGACTCCTGGCTTCCACCCAGGATCTCCCTAGGACTGCACATATGGTGTTACCTGCTCTGAAGTTGTTTGTGTGCCATGATATAAGATATATTGATATATTTTAGCTGTGGTTAGCAATTCTGCTGCATCCCTCATACATTGCTACATAGGGTGTGTAAAGTTCTGGTGTTGCTGAGTGTTCTAGAAGATCACTTGCACTTACTGCTGGCTGGATGACAGCGTTGAACCCACAGCTGTTTGATGAATGCTGTAGAGGAACTTGCAAGATATCCTTTGACTGCCTCTGCTTGTTTCCATTACACGCTCTGCTCCACGCTGTTTGCTTTTGCTTCTGAGCTTTTAGCTGATGGAAACTCCTGCAAGTAGGATTGCAAGTAGGATTACGTGATAGGTGGTGCCAGAACCAGTGCTGCAGAGGCAGAAGGTGGCTGGTGCTTAGGGAATGGCTTTGCTGGGAAACTCCCTTTGTTTAGACTGTGCAAAACTTCTTTCTGTCCTTGTATTTTTTCTTCTTCTTCTTCTTCTTTTTTTTTTTTTTAGGTCTTAATTAAACTTTCTGCATTTGAATTAGTTTACATTAATGTCACACTGTCCTATTATGTGTAAATTGACAGACACTAACAGGGATTTGATCAGCCTAATTCAGCTGTATGTAATTATGTGCCTTCTCCTTAAATAATTGCAAACAGAGTCTATCAATCATGGCAGGGGAGCCTGCTGCTTTATAATAATGTGGGATTGTTTAGTGAAATGTAATAAGACTTCAGGTTTCAGATGGGAAGTAAACAGAATGAGATTTTAATGAGACTAGTGATAGGAAGAGAAAACTCCACACCCATCCTCTGTTGCAAGCCACACTTTTTATCTTCCTTTCCCCTGAAAAAAAGGTGTCCTGATTGCATTGTTGTCACACTGATGTTTGAGAACATTTCTGTAATTTGAAAGGAATTTGGGCAAAGCGTCAATTTCTGGCTGCCAGGAAACGTCCCGGCCCTCCCACTGGTGCTGTTCTAATGTAAGGTGGTTTTTGTTTCATTCACTGATGATTTGATTACCCAGATCAAACACAGGGGTGTGCAGAAGGCCACAGAAGTGGAAATGAAATTGGCCGTGCCATTTCTGCACAAGGCTGCAAACACATGCCCTGCTCGGAGAACGAGTAGCTGAAGGAGTCCCCTTTCCTGGGATGCACTTTGAAAGTGGTTCCCTTAACACAGACACCCACTTCAGCCCTTGTGTTTGGGTGAACTTCTGTGTGGTTTCCTTATCTCCGCTGTCACGCAGTGCTCCCCTGGCACGTGGACAAGCAGGGAAAGGCAGGCGCAGTGCCAGCAGGCTTTCCTCAGCCTGCTGCTGAAAACCCATCTGTGCCAAGAAAAGCTTGAAAAACCAGAACTTCAAACAAGCTGTGAAGGGAGTGAGTTTGAGATCACAACACCTTGTTCAACAGGCTCTGCTGTTACGTCCACTTTGCTTTAAATCTGCAAATACCTCCGAAAGACTTTATAATGCCATGAGCTCCACCGTCAGTACAGTGCTGCCCGTTCTCTCCTGCAGGACTGCCTTGGGAGGGTCTCAGAAGCCCAGCACACATCTGTCTCACTCTCTGCTATTGCAGATACTTCTGTAACTTGAACTAGAAGGGGGAGATCTCCCTTTGTTCCTCCAGGGGTTGCTGTGTGAGCAGCTGGAGTCCAGCGTGCTTGGGTTGTCTCCTGGTCAGGAAGCGCAGATGCTGTTTCAAGATATTGTCCCGGTATCTTGGGAGCTGTTTTCCAGTTTTCCTCACCTGTCAGTCAGAATCCATTGCTCCCCTCCACACACACAGCCCCACTGCCACGCCGTGCTCCCCTCGCCTGTGGGTTTTTATGTTTTTAGGCTTAACAATCCATCCTTGCTGTGGCCGTGGATTTTTTTTGCCTGCTGAGTTTTAGCTTGGACTGAATTTTCAATGCTAAAGTTTTAATGATAGTAGAATTAAAATGAAAAGCAGTGACAGTTGCTCAACCCCCATGTTTGCATTACCAAACTGTAACATCAAACTCGTGGGTGCTCTGCCCGCTGTATCTTAGGGCTCTGTTTCAAACATGTTTATAGTGATGCTGTCTCACAGTAGTTTGAATTGGAGAAGTAAGAACACATGCTGGCACATAAGAAATGAGAATTTCCCATCTAGGTCATCAGCAGCCCAGAGGAGGAGGGCTGTGGCCCTGTGGTGACAGTTGTTTGTGGCATTGAGTTATCAGTGACAGCCCAGGTCTTGGTGGGCTCGTGGCCCCAGCGCAGCACCGTTGGAAAACATAGATGATATGTTCATGCTCTGCTATTTGTGCTGCACACTCTGTCAGAGGCCAAGTGCTGGGAGTGAATCGGTGGATTTTAGGGAGTTTGACACTGGTGACTGCTTTATTTATTTAATGTGGCTGTTTAGAAACTGTCTGAATTTCTGTTAATACAATGGGGAGATCCATGTTTTGTATCCGAAGGATTATTGTCAGGAACAGCTGAGAAAATTCGTTTTTAGGAAAACAGCTGAGCAAACACACAATGTGAAGTCATATGCTGGCTGTTGTGGTTTACTGCATTTTTGTGCAGGATCATCTGTGGCTGTGTGGATGGAGAATGGCGAGGTTTTCTTTAGAGCTCCCATGGGAACTGAATTCATGCAGTGACAGAAATGACCTGTTTGTTTTCAGGAAGCGCTAGTCCTGTTTCTTCATCAGTTTGCCTGTTGCAAAAGTTGTCTTGATACTGACTGTTTATCTACAAAGGAAGATATTACTTGTTGCCCACCGGTTCACAGTGCAAGAGGACTTGTCTGCTTATTTTTCACTCTGTTCGCTTCATGCTTCTGTGCTGCATGCAGGGCAGATTGGATTGCTCTGCAACGCTGGATGTGCTGAAATACCATCGCCTCGTCTCTGTTTAACTTTACCTTTGCAGATGCAGAAATCCATGGCTTCTTGCTTCTAATACAGATTACTTGTTGTATCCAAGTCCTCTGAATAGTGAAAACTGTACTGAAGTGGCTTTTTGCTTTGACAGCCTTGCAATCCCTGACTTTCTGGCAGTATTCAATGACGACTTTCATTTTCCAAATGCTGTGAGTAGTTTGGAGACTCTCAAAGCTACATTTACAGTAAATGTGATGCTGCAGTAATGATGGGTCAATTCAGATTCAGTCTGTAATGCGGGGGGAAAAAAAAGCCGAACATCTTCAATAAAAAATAACGTTGAAGTGACTTTAGACAGCAACTTAATAGTTCCATGTCATTATGTGTGCAATTAAAAGCCTTTACCCTTGAAAACAGAGTTGCTTGGATTTGTTAATCATCATTCTTTGCTATGGTGAAATAGACTGAGGTGAATTCTTACGGTGTTAAGAATGGCTTCATGCTGTAATGTGAAAATCCATTTTTCACAGAGCAACAATTTCTCTCTTAATGCTTTTCTCCATTCTTGGCGCTGTCTGAAATGATGGCAGTGTCACAATAACACGAAGCTTTCAAATGTAACATTCCCAGCATTATCTTCAGCTGTGCTTCCACTCTGCTCTGTAACTTCTGTTGAAAAGCACTGGGCTGGGTGACCCAGAGCATCTGATAGCACAGCAGCAGAAGTTACTTGTGTCACTGTGAGCTCTACCCAGGGATTCCTCTCTGGCTTTGGTTGCTCTTGTTGCATGAAGGAGACACCTTGTATAAATTAGAAGTTTAGTTTTTAAGCAGGTAACACTTGTTTCTCCGTCTCCCACAGAGCTTCAGGGGCTGAAGGAACTGTCCTGCAACTGGAATATTCCCTCCACCAGGAGGCTGCTTTTGTGCTGCTGGAAGTGGCTGTGGGGGAGGGAGGGAGGATGTGGTTGGGATTAAAGTGTTACCGTAATCTTCCGGGCAGATTTGCTCTTTAGGGTTCAGCTGTTTCAGTCGTGTCGGCAAATCTCTGCTCTATCCATCTTTGTCACCCACACAAGTGACTGCACAGAACATTTTGCTCCTTTGGGGCCTGTCACAAAATGAAGATTTTTTAACTATCTCTGTACATTTGGCGTTTAAAAAGTAGGGTAATTATCGTCCCTGAAAGCTGATTGAAATGGTGCTACTGTACCTGCTGCAGTTGGATAGAAGCTGTTACAATCAGGGTTTTTTTTGGAAGCCCTCTCCTTGGAGCCAGGCCCTCAGGGCATGAGGTGCCAGGTGCCTTGGATAGCAGACCCTGTGGGAGCTTAGTGCTGCTCCTGTGCTTGCCCAAGTCCTGCACCCAGGTCATGGCTGTCTGAGGGACTGACTGCGTTCTGCAGGGTTGTGCTCTTCCTCTTACACCTGCAAAAAGTGAAGCACAAGAGAAACCAATGACAGAGCTGGACCTTTGCCTGGATGGTAGGAAAGGCTGTGTGCGGATCTGAGGTCTCTGCAGGCTCCATCTACAGCTCTGAGCACAGTATTCCCTTTGTAAATCTGCCCCAAGCTCCTTCTGGAAGATGTCTGGCTTATTAAAATTCCCGTTTAGCTGCATCTGTAAGCTGGCCAAATCCCATCAGAAATTGGTGACCTTGCTGATGCTGCTCTAGTGATGGCCAGACATTAGAGCTGCAGGAAAAGTGAATTCCTATCCAAAATGTGGTATTTCACCTTGAGGTAAAATCAGCTATGGAGTAAATCTGTGCTCCATAGAAAGTCTAAAACAAGGCTTTTATTAAATTTTACCCAGAGCTTCTATAACAATGTTACACATGGTTCAATCATTAAAAAAAAAAAAAAAAAAAAAATCACTGGTGTGGTTTCAAAGGCAGGAAATAAAGCGGGGTCTAGGCAACAGCTAGACATTAATTAAGGTAGAACTGAGCACTGTCATTTCAGCCAACTTGCTGGCTGGGTCCATGTCACACTTCCTTCAGCTCTGCCAGGAGCTGCTGCCTCCCTGTGCTGGTGGCCTCTCTCCATCTCTGCCACTCAGCTCCTGCTCCAGCCTGCTCACAGTGGCTCTGGCTGCTGCTGGGCCCTCAAGTAACAAGTTTAGTAACTCAAATAAGGAACAAGCTGGTAGGTGTGATGGTTTGAGCTCTCCTTTAACTTACTTGTCATGCTGTGTGTCCTAATGTTGGTCTGTGTTTTCTGAGGTGACGAGATGGGGTGTGAGTAAGCTGCCTCAAACTGTGCCAAGGGAGGCTTAGATTGAATATCAGGTAGAATTTCACAGAAAGGGTGGTTAGGGGTTGGAAAGTGCTGCTCAGTGGAGTCCCCATCCCAGGTGGTATTTAAGACACATGGATGTGGCACTAGGTGATGTGGTTTAGTGATGGACTTATATTAGGTGATACTGGTGATCATGAAGGTTGTTTCCAACCTAAATGATCCTGTGACTCTTTGAACTACAGCTTTTAAAGGCTTTTCAACACTACAGTAATCTGAAGTGTTGTCTGCATATGGATCTTGTGTCCTTCTTCCCTACTGCTGGCAAGCAATGTGAATACAGCACGTCTTCATCTGCTGTTCTGTCGTTTGTTTGTTTTTAATGTCTCAGTAACACTCGTTTCCCCAGGGGAAAATTTAAATGATAAAAATTAATTCTTGTTTGGATCGTTTGCTTGAGTTTCAAGATATTTTGCAGTTCCAGAAACGTTGTGGTGTCAGTAGCATGATCCAGGGGCCAGGTTAATCCAAAGTGGTTTGCAAATGCTTGTAATTCAGGATTTGGTGAGAAATTATTCAGCTTAAGGTGGTTAATAAGTTCATGCTGTAATGTTGATGATAATAAGTTCTTCAGACGTCTAGACGTGTGATTACACTGAGTGCAGCTAAACGAAACCTTCTGTGCATGTGTTACTTGTAGGAGATCTCATCCCACATAGCGATGCCCAGCAGCATTGGTGTGGCTGGAGGCAGTCAGCTGTGCCTTCCCTGCTCCCAGAAGTGGCCTTGGGCAACGTGAGGAGCTGTGAACAGCACATCACTGTGGTTATTGTTAATTTTACAACAAAAGGAGGTGACAGATTGCTGTAGAGTCTGCTTGGAGGGTTGTGAGTGCATTTTGAAGGCTGTAAGTCCTTTTGTTTCACTACCTCTGCTTACCCATATTAGCTGTTTGAAGATGCTGCCAAATGCCTCAGCGCTGATAGGAGTAACTTTGCTAAGTTCAATCATTTGTGCTGTTAGGTTTTGAGTTCAGCTCTGCAAGACAGTTCGGAATGACTTAATCCAGAGGTTATAATGAAGAGCATTTCTATATATAAAAAGCAATTTGGATGATGGGCAGAGAGGAATGTAATTGCACTAGTTAGACTTTGAGTGGGGTGCTATCTTTGTGACTTTCTATTATGTTGAAGAATGACATTTTTAGCTTTGTCTTCAGCAACTTGAACTTTTAAGCTTTTGTTCTGCTCCAAACCTTAGCTTCTCAGTGCCAAGCTGGAGCACTGCAGGGTTGGATGGGCAGTCTGTGTGAAATGGATGCTCCAAACAACTATATCCTGTGCTCTCTTTCTTGACTTGACAATCAAGCCAGCAGGTTCCTGCTTCTGGGGAGTAGCTTTGCTACAGTGGACTTAAAAATAAATAAATAAATAAAATAAAAAGAATTGCATCAGCCCTTGCAATTCCATTAAAGGAAGATGATGTTACAAACTACTGTCAGGCTGTTGTGGGCTATTGAGATTCCATTTCTGCTGAACTGCATTAATCCCTTCTGTTGGTGTTCAGACAAATGTCCCAGATGAGGGAGTCACTGACCAGTAAAAGCAGTAGTTGAACGAGTTTGGTGTTCACTGCCAGCCTTGGCAGGTGCTTGGGCTGAGCTGAGCAGCTGCTAGCAATGGGAAGCAGCTTTAGGGATGCATACCAGGTGTGGCAGCAAGCCCTCTCCTATTCAGGGATGACCAGAAATTGAAAGAATACTTTCTTTCAGCTTCTGTTTGAGAGAAAAAGGGAGTTTCCAACTCTTCTGTAGAATGAGTTGCTCTCTGAGCTTGGAAATGAGCTTATACAAGATTGCAGTACCCATAAGCCATCACCTTCTGATTGCCCTTCTGATAGTGACTTGACTCGAGATAAAGAGGCAATGGAAACTAGCTTGATAATTACAGCTAGTGCAATATTATTTCCTTCATCTCCTTGTCTGAATTTGGCCTTTCCAGTGAGCAAACAAGGTGATTGCTGGCCAAAGGAGGACAGAGCTCAGAAACATGAGATTTGCTCTCTTGGACTGTGCACACTTCTTTCTGCTAGTGAGATCCTGATGCTGCCATCCTGGCTCTGGCACTGACTTGCTTGGCTGAAGCTGTCTGCTCTTTCTGTATCTCCTCCTTCGTGTCCATAACTGAACAGTCATGTGCCTCCCACTGAAGTCCTTGGGTGGTTGGTGAGAGACGTGGAAGCAGATGGGGATGGCTCTTATCTGCTTGCACAATGTAGGTTGCAGAATTTTGTCTTATTGCAGTGGAGCACTTTTTAAAGCGCTGCTTCATGTCAACAGGAATTATATTCCTGTCCAGCAGGTGCTACATCTTGGACCTTTCCTGGGAGTGAGTGCTGTCTGCTGCAGAAACTCGGTGATCGTGGTCTTGCATCTGGGCTCCAAATGGCAGCAGGAGCCTGGGAGCAACTTGCAGAGATTCCCTGCTTCCATTTCATGGTGCAATTAAGATGAACCCTAAGGCTTATTTACCTATAAAACTGGGTCTGTTTCTGTGCAAGTCCATCTCTGGCTGTACCAAAGCCAAGTAACCCAACCTACTGGAAGCGTGTTTGGGATTGATGCCAGATTCCCAAACTGGAGAGCATCAGCTTGCAACTCAAGTGGTGTTGACATTTGCGGGAAGGCTTTATGTTCTAAGCCGTCAGATGTTAGCTAGTGTATGTAATTAACTTGGTATAATTTTGCTTCAGAATGAAATATTCAGTTAAAAGAGACTTAATGCTTTTAATGTCTGGGTAGCAAGTGATGCTGTGTAGAGCAAGGCATACATCTCGTGTTTCAGAGACTGGTTTCATGGCAACTTCTGTTTGTTACTATGGTACACAGTGAGTCCTGAGGGATTTTACTGCCCATCACTTCTTAGGTCATGTGAGTAATCTAGATGTAAAACCCACTGATGTATGCTACCAGTGGAGACAGAAAACAATACGAAAATACTGATGCTCTGCAAATCTAGTTGTCCCGGGGGACAAATGTAAAGCTTTATTCTGCTTAGTGGTTTAGAGTTAGGTAACAAAGCCTGTGACCAGAGCAGGAAACAGAAGGGGTAAGCGGTAAGCAGAACACTGGAACAGGATGTTGTATTTGCTCCATCCAGTTCTTACACCTCTCTGTTATGAAGCTCATTGACCACTTCTGGTCTCTCTAAAATGTCTTGTATTACAATCCTAATGCTACAGCTTGCAGAAGGAATCCATAGTTTCTGAGACTTGAACTTTATTGTCTTCTCATCTGAGAGCCATCGCAGTCACCAAAATCTTCCTTTTATGCTTTGTGAAAACTGAAGTGAACTCTTTGCCTTGGAGACTGGGTTGAATTTGCAGAGAATAAGACCAGAAGAATCAGCTGCACGCAGAGGTCCTATCTGCTTCATGGCTGGTTGGTTTGTTTGCCTAGATGGCATCCAGGCAGGTCTGTGGGAAAACACAAGGACTGACCCAGTACCATGAGACCATTCTGATAGTCTGATCACTTCTGTAAGTTCAACGTGCTGCTGGATGAGATTCACAACAGGCAGATTGCTGTTGTTATGAGAAAGGATGCAAACATTTCTGTAGTTGCACGCAGCTGGTAGGTGGGGACTCTTGTTTTGTATGTGAGCAGTTAGTCTGGTTTTGTTGTCTGAGTGACAAACAAGATTGAGTGATAACACCAACAGAACCCATCTTTCAGTGAAAACCGTTTTTTTTTTAAGGCAACTGTAAGACAATTTGTAATGCTGTCTTGTAACATTGTAATGTTCTATGATCATAGAATCATAAAGTGGTTTGGGTTGGAAAGGACCTTTAAGATCATCCAGTTCCAACCCCTGCTGTAGGCAGGGACACCTCCCTCTAGACCAGGCTGCTCACAGCCCCATCCAGCCTGGCCTTGAATGCTTCCAGGGGGCATCCATAGCCTCACTGGGAGCCTGTTCCAGTGTCTCACCATCCTCATAGGACAGGATTTCTTCCTAATCTCTAGTCTACATATATCGTCTTCCAGTTCAAAGCCATTTCCCCTCATCCTGTCGCTACATGCCCTTATAAAAAGTCCCTCCCCAGCTTTCAAGTAGGCCCCATTCATGCACTGGAAGGCTGCTATAATGTCTCCTGGAGCTTTCTCTTCTCAGTGCTGAAAAGCCCCAGCTCCCTCAGCCTGTCTGTATAGGAGAGGTGCTCCAGCCCTCTGATCATCTTCATGGCCCCCCTCTGGACCTGCTCCAACAGTTCCCTGTCCTTGTGCTGATGGCTCCAGAGCTGGATGCAGTGTTCCAGGTGGGGTCTCACAAGAGCAGATTAGAGGGGCAGAGTCACCTCAACCTGCTGGTCACGTTTCTCTTGTTGCAACCCATCAAGATGGTGCATCAAGAAGAAAGGCAGTTGCAGTAACACACTAATTTCTTCATACGTTAATATTCTTGGTATGTTAGTGTGATGGAGAACCATCAGCTCATAGTTAACTTTGAGCTCAGCTACAAAGGTAACCCCAGCAGCTTTAACCCCCCCAGTGTGCATTCGCACGGCCTGCACGGAGCTGCTGGGCTGTCACAGCAGCAGTGGATGTGGCAGAGGATCACAACCACTCAGGTGGCCTCTTCCTTTTCCCCAGTCAGTGGCATGCACAGCTGTAGGCAGTGAGGGGAGCAAAACCTTCCCTGCACACTTGGGTATGGGAGTGCCGGCATCCAGTAAGTGTCCTCAGCTCAGAAAGGCTTTCGTATCGAGCAGTGTTTTTGTTAACATTGATTGATACTTCTGCTTTTACAACTAGTGTAGCTGATGCTTCAGAGCGGCTAGCTTATTAATGACTGCTTGTCTAAGCCATGATTTGTCAGCAGGTTGATTATCACTTGAGATATTTTTTTTTTTTCGTATAAAAATGACAGCTGTAATAAGAGGCAGCGCTGAGTCATTCTATGGCTTAGACTTTGTTCTGTGGCAGCACAACCAGAAGTTAAGCAGCACTTTCTCTATGTTTCTTCCTGTTAGAGGACTGCTGATGCCCATAAATACCAGGTGTGGGTGATAAATGCTGAATGTTTTTTCCTGATGACAGGATGCGTGTGTGTGCTTCCTGCTGCTGCAGATTGGTGGGGAGCTGCAGGCCTGTCGTTGGGAGCTGGCTACCAAGTGGCAGCTGTGCTCTGTGTTGATGCAAGGCTCATCGACATTATGGTCATTAAGTCTTTAGCTGTGTTATCTTGTTTGATTTGGAGGATAAAGTGTATGGTGCTGGACTTTGTTTCTGGCTTGATACGGGATAAATTCAGTGCTCTTGGACAAACAGCACACCGTGAGCTGCTGCAGTTTATTGTGGGGAAAGCGTAACTGATGAGGTGAACGAACGTGCTGTGATTCAGGTGCATTGATGTTGGTGCCAGTTAGGTAGAAGTTTTACCCAGTGAAGCTGCAAGTGGTTTTAATAACTGTAATATATGTAGATTTTGTTTAAAATACTTTTTCTCTTTTCTCTTGCAGTTTCTTTTGCTGCCAACCATTGGAAGGAGTCGGAATTTTTCAACCCCTTGTTTCAAGTGACCTCAGCCTGTTCTCTGCAGCTCAGCTCCCTCTGCTCCCCCATTTTGGTGAACAAAAGACCCTATTTGGAGGATGAGGCAGCTGAGAGGAAAGCCCAAAAAGGAGACCTCCAAAGATAAAAAGGAGAGGAAACAGGCGATGCAAGAGGCCCGCCAGCAGATCACCACGGTCGTGCTTCCCACGCTGGCCGTCGTAGTGCTGCTGATTGTTGTGTTTGTTTATGTAGCGACTCGTCCAAATACAACTGAATGATGCAGCTTTTCAGACCTTCTAACTTTGGGGTATTAATACTTTTATCAAGAGCCAAAAGAAACTCTCTGCCACTCTCAATACTTCACAAAGGAACTTGCTGGTACTTTCAGTCTTTCTCTTGGTTAGGATTCCACAGTTTCTCTTTAGGAATGTAACATAAAACGTATTAGTGAATGTGCCAGTACGTTTTATGGTCCAGTTCATGTGCCTTTCAGACTTTTACAATGGTGTTTTTCTTAAATCTGTTTGAAGTTCTATATTGTAAAAGGAAATTCTGTTCCGCTATAAATTTGTAAAAAATCAGCTTTCAGCTTTTATCACTGTTATGGATGATGTTGCTCCCATGAGCTCTTGTATGTCTATTTCAGAACTTCCAAAGAAGTACATTTCTTCTTTGTACTTAATGTCATATGAAACACTTTGATTCACAAAGGATATATTTATTTTTTGAATAAAAGAGAGAAGTCTTACTTGGAATCTTATTTTGCAAAAAAAAAAAAAGTGACTTATTGTGAGAGACTACATTGTGTAATAATTTTTTCATTAAACACTATATAGTTCACTCAAAAAGAATTTCTTTTTGCAGCAAGGTGTGTGTGCAAAGTGAATACTCAGGATCCACTGACGTTGGGAAAGCAGATTCTACTATTTCTGCTGTTTTTGGTGAAGTGGCTAACTACAGACTGCATAAACACAGTGTGAGTGTTAAGTATTTAAATCCATCAAGTGGCAATAAAAGGTGGTTTTGGATTCAGCCCTTGGTTATTTATTTATTTTTTTAATTTAATGTTCACAAAGGAAGGAAAAATGACAGTATGTCTTAGGTCTCTCATCTCATTACTTAAGTGAGATGCACTTCTCTGATATCCCCTGCCTGCTTCACTTAATGGGAGCTGTAAGCATTGCTTAAACTGATCACGTTCTGACTTAAGTGATTCAGTAATTCTGTATTGTTCTAAAGCCCTTTCCTATCTAAGTATCTTAAGGCACTGAATAGGCCTTAAAGGTGGAGGAGGAAACTTGAGAATACTCAACTGCATCTAAAATACAGACCAAGCAAGAAATAATGTGATGCTGCAATGTATGGAAGTGTAGCAGGAAATAATCTCAGGCAGAAAGTTGAAGACCACTCCAATCTTTGCCACCTTCCAGCAGTCCCAGTGCAGCCAGTGGGATTGTTTGTATGCATGCCTGCAGAAGGCTGGGCTCTTGCTTCTTGCATTAACTCAGTGTGCTGATCTTGCACTGAATGCTATGGATGACCAAAATTGTTTTGCAAAAAAGCCCCATCAAACTTAGCAAATTCCCTGTGTTAGGTTTTGTCTTAAGGCAAACATTCCCCAGGTGGGATGGAACTGTAGCTATAGAATAACCCAATTCGAAGGGAGATACCTACCCAGTTATGCTGGGATGTCACTGCTACTGATAGTACCCAGAGTTAAGCAAGCCCTGCAGACCAGGATGCTTCTGAAATACAAAATTTGCTTAAAGGAAAGAGTTTGGAAAAAGGTTTGTTTTGTTTCCCTCCAGTTTGCAGCATAGTTGGGATATATGCACAGCAAAGGATGCGGACAAAATGGTTGTCATCATATATGCAGAAGAGTTTTTATCACTGAGGGATGAGCTGAAAATCTGCAGGGGAATCCCTCTGCTCACTAAGCCATAAATTGGTACTCAGATTGTCTGTGCTTCTGTTCTGTGAGCTGCTTCCTTCAATCGGAGAGCTCCAAAATGATGCCTTTGTAAGAGTCATTGCTTGGTCTGCATTGTCTCCCAGTTGCTTCTGTTCTCCTACACACCAAGTGCATTTTGTCCTATTTTTATTTGGCTGCAGTGGAGATCTGGGAGTTTATCTGTTTTTGAAAGCAAGTGTTCAGCTGGAACAAAATCTGTGCCTGAGGAAGTGAGCAGAAGGGTGTGTACTCCAAACGTGCATGTTCTGCAGGGTGCTTGAATGGGCATCTTGAATGGAAGCACTTTCCTCTATCTGATCTCTTCTACAGATTCCTCTTCCTCATCTTTCTCTTCCATCGTTTCCTAGCAGAGGTCTTCCTCTCCTCCTTGTTCTATGATACTTGCTCTGTAGAATTTACCAAAGTCCTGAGCTGTAAGCAGCTGCTTTAGTTCAGTCAGTTCCACCTGCAGGGTCTTTTATCAGCCCCAGCAATGACTTCGTAGATTTGCAGAGTCTTTTTTGAAACTGCTATTAGGTGGTTTTTTTTCCCCTTCATTTTCTGCAAGAGTTCAGTTTGTGACAGATAAGAGCAATTAACTGGCTGATAACAACAAAATAGGTAAAAGGTCAGCAGGGCTAGATAATATTTAATATTACTTCTCTAATTAGATCTTTCATTTCTGCTTTTTCTTACGCCCTTCCTTTGTCTCTTGTCATCTGCAAATTTTTCAGGTCATGATAATCATCTTTTTGGAGCCAAATGTTTATTAGTATGAACCTATAGAATAATGCTAATAAGAGATTTCGAATTTCAGTTTCCTGAAATGTGCAATTTTGCTGAGCACTAATTGAGAGGAAAACAGTGTAACACGTTCTAAACTCTTCATTATGCAGAAGTTAGAATTGATTTCACAGTTTGACTCTTAAAAAAAAAAATGTTTTTCTCTAGTAAACAATGAATGAATTCTGACATTTTCTACCAAGTTTCCTTTTGCTGGTACAGGAGAATGCAGATTTGAAACAGCAGTACGAAGCCTCTGTAGACTGAAACTGTCAAAAATCACTGGGAAGTAATCAGGAAAGAAATTAATGGTGGTTGCCCAAATGTCAACTCTTCTGAAGTCTGCTTAAGGTGTAACCATGCCTCTGTTTTTTAACTGTGTGTATTACTTCAAGTGTCAGTTGCCTTCAAAAGTATTTTAGAAATAGGATTTCAAACTGTTTCCCAGCATACAGGAGCTTATGTGAATGATTTATTACTAGCATTTTACCAGAAACTCACACTGAGACATTTCTTCAGCAGTGTCTTATGATATGGTTTCCAAGAGTGCTCATTATCAGGTGAAGTCATTATAAACTTGCCATTGCCTTCTGAGAAATCAAGTTATAGAAGCAATCTATTAAGACCAATTTTTCAAAGCATAAATCAAGTCTGAGTCAACCACTTGGAGGTCAGGGTTTGAATGGAGATTTATGTCTTCAAAGTGCTAAGCAAAAAAGACTTGTGTCAAGTATCCTCACAATAGGCAGATGGCCATCTGTGTTATAAATGGCCCCGGGTTCCCCAAACCAAGTGCCAGAGGCCCATGCTCTGAAGGAAGAAAAGGGGATCAATCTTACCAGTCTTCTGTTTCTATCAAACTTCAAGAAAATGTTTTTCAAATCGTGATGGTCAGAAAATAGCACTTTTAAATACGTATGGGAAATACAGAGGACTACTTCTTTCAGAATGTTTTCATTGGGTATTCAGACAGTATGTGCACAGGTTTTGAATGCACCCTTAGCTCCAGCAGATGTCAACTGGAGCCTGCTCTTCCATTCTGAGTTTGGACTTGCATCACAGAAACATTTCTTACCAGGAGAATATTGGGCATGTGGTCTCAGTCCAACACACCTGCACCAGCAGAGGGAAACCCCATTGTTCCCACACCAAGTGTCCTCATCAAACCCATAGGTGCAGGTCTTTAGCTGATCCTGTCTTCTGTGAGCCACTTTTATTTGTGTATGGTGGAAAAGTTTCAGCTACAAAATTCCTGTTGTGAGACGTGTATTTAGGTGGGAAACTGAAAACCCAGGACTTCTGTTGGATTTGTTGTTCTGTCTGGAACTGTAGATGGATTCAAGCCAAGCCTGTAAGTTCTGCATCTGTTGCAGGCAGTTCAGTGGCAGGAAGGTCTTGGACTTTCTTTGCACAGAGACTGGTTCTCACAGGATAAATGGGCAAACACATTCTTGATAAATCTTGATTGAAGGCCCCTAGCACTGTGGCTAAGAGTAGAGCACAGCACAGCAATGGGATTGTTGGTTTGGGGTGCGAGTCAAGTGCAGTCTGTCAGCATCCAGGGGCATTGTTCAATCATCAAAAACTGATGGAATTTCAGTGTGGTACATTAAGTTGCAGCGGATTTATAGATTTGAGGGTGCCTGTGTGGTTAGAAAGTCTCTCAGACATGATGAATAAGTAACTCTGAGATCTGAACCCCGCAGCAAAGGAAAAAGAACACGACACTCCCACATAGAACAATTCAAACGAGCTCTGCTATGAGCCATTTTTAACCTAGGTTTTTCCAAGCAGACTGCTCTGCTGGGGAAGAAGGAATTCTGCTTGAACAAGACAGCTGATGGGAAATGTAGAGAGTAGCTATTTTGCATAGACTTAAGCGAAAAAAAGTGATGTCAATGATATAATTGATTGTTGTAAAGCTGTGTGGGAATGTAAATCCCTTGATCTGTATGGTACAGTTGAGGTCCTTCACACAGCACTCACCCTGCTGTCTGACCTTTGATAGATCCAGAGGTAGAAAGCAGCAGGATGGGCTCCTGGGAGGAGCCTTGCACACAGCTGGGTGGACTGTAGCAATAAAACTGTGGCAGCTGCCATGACAGACCATGGAAGTAATATCACCTAGGGCACACTGTGTTAGGCAGCCTATGGTTATGACTTCTTTCTCCTTGCCCCTGATTTCATTTAGTCTGGTTGTGAATCACTGAGTGCTGTAGGGCTTGATTCTGTGCTGTTACACTACTGGTAAACCAGGAATGGCATGCAGTCATGCTATGATGAGAATGGAGATGTAGGCACTCTGTAGTCTGGACTGGATAAGCTAAAGCTATCATTTAAGTCTTCCCATTGGAAAAGCAAGACAGTTGTGCTCGTGGTTTCTCATATTTGTCCATTTTTGTGTTGATGTGGTGGTGCTTTGCTGCTGTTTGCATCCTGTAGTGTTCCCATGAGTATGCATGTCCCATAGCACCCACAGTCCCAGCGCTGCTATTCCATTCTTCCATTCCTATATCTCCCATACTTAAAAGAAGAGAGTAAGAAATGAAGTAAGAAGAAAATATGTTAAATAATCACTTCTCATGTGAGCTACTATTAAATGTTTCTGGTCCACTGTTTCATCAGAGAACATTGTGGGAAGTGAATTGGACAGCAATGGCTTGGCAGCTCATCCAACACCAACTATTTCAAAATTGCACCTTGATGAAACATGTTGGCAACTGTGTGTATGTGACCTCTGCTCTTCCTTCAGGAAAAAAGGCTGGTGGCATTCTGAACTATTGTTCTTTTATTTAAAACAAGTCTTTCAACTGAGAGCCAAAAATGTTTTTCGGTGAAGCTTTGAAAAATCATAAAAGAAGTCCAGCAGCTTATGAGGATTTTCCATTGCCAGCTCTTCATAAAGTAGAAGAGCAATCTTCTGTATGTTTTGACTAATCCTTAGCTCCATAGCGTTTCACCTTGTTCTCTCAACAGAACTTACAATTAATAATTCATTTCTTCTTCATTTTTATTGGTACTTTCTGAGATTTATAGCCTTGGACCCATCCGGTTATTCTTTCAGCAATATGTATGTATGCATCTCCAATCCCTGTTTGCAGGGATATAATTCTCAGACTTTATTATTTCTGCTGTCCATCATTCTTTAAATTTTTTTCCAAGTAATGTGAAATGTCATATATTGTATAAACTGTCTCAGTCATGATAGACTAGGGATATGTATTTTCCTTGACAAACCTCTCACAGCTCAAGCAAGTTTCTACATTTTAATACAATCAAAGTATTTCATCAATTTAAAATTTTAAAACATGCATTTGCATTGAATTTCACTCCTAAGACTGTATGAATACCAATAACATCTTCTCTCTTTCAGAAATACTACTCATCAGTTAATGATTCAAAGCTCTTTTTGCAGCCATACTCAGAACCTTCGGTGTGGCTCTGAGTTGATTGCAGCAGCATTGGGCCCTTGTTCAAATGCGCGCTGAGAGATTAGCAGCTTCTGCTGATTTTGGCCATGGAAGAGAAAGGTGATCTTTCAGTTAAGGAGGTGTTAAGAGCCAGGATTTTAATCTGTACTGACTCAGCGCATTTTCAGTGCAATATGCTCTGCAGGAGGTACAGGTGAAAACAAGCAGGCTGTTCAGGCAGGAGTGCTTTGCAGTTTTCAATGCTTTTCATGTAGAAGTTAATTATATGGTATTACACAAAAGCCAAGCTGAAACTGACTCTGATGTTTCATTATCCAAATTTAAGAGCTTGGCTAGATCTTAAAAGGCTTTAGAAAGAAAATTGTACTCATTTTTTGATAATTTCTTTCATTCATTCTACGTAATCACACAAACTTGTATCATGAGCAGGATCTTCAGATAGTTAACTGGACTCAGGCACATTCCTCTGCAGATCCAGAGCATGCTGACTTTGTGCATGTTTAAACCTTGCAGCAGCAAAGGAATCTGGCTCACCAGCTAATAATCCTTTTCTTCTTCCGCCCTTCTGAAAGACATTTTACTTTTTGCTTCTGCAAATCTTTCCCATCTTAAAATTTAGCTTCATTTACAGAGGTTCCTAAATTTTCTCATTAGTTCTTTTAACAAATCCAGATGCATCTCTCCTTTAATTGAGGACAGATATATATTTAGTCTGTTCAAATGTCCTTTCATTATCTTTTTATTCACTCTTCATTCCTCCAGCTGAGTCCAGCAATTTTTCTGAGTTTTCCTGTAAAACATCTTTGATTCCCTCATTTTCATTACTCATTTTATTGCAAACTGGTATTTAAAATCTTGGTATTTTGTGTGTGATGTAGTGTATTTTGTCAAAATGGAAATATCTCCTGCAAAGACAATTTACATTTTTGCTGTGGTCTTGAATATCAATAACACTTGTTTTACTCACACTGGAGCTGTTTGACAGTCTGGTATTATTTTTATCCAGATTTTTCCAGGAAGTTGGCAGCAGTACGTGCTGGAAAGCACTTCTTCAGTATCTCTTTCACTGAAATTGGTGGTTCATCAACACTGTCTGTAATTTGTTTCGCTTACACAGCAATAGAATCCAGTTTGAATTGCAAATAAAAGGAATCTCAACATTATGCAGTTTTTAGCGTATGGAGTTGAATTAGCTCTACTCAGTTTTATGATGTTTTCCTACGTTGCAGAAAAAAATATAAGGAATTTAGGCCATTTCTTAAGACTCATCACAAGTCATCTGAAGTAGAAGGCTCTTCTATATTCCAGTATAGTTAAACAACAAGCCAATACAGTATCAAAATCTTCTGAAGGTGCTTTTGAAGATGGGATTTAAAAATCTTAAGTATTAATGTAAAGCATGGAAAGCACCTGTGATCAGACTCTATCCAGGTAAATTCTATAGGTCTGGAAAAAGAGGTAATAGAGGTGGCTTCAAAGTAGCTTCGTGCTTTGTCTGCTTGTGCTCCTCCAACAGTACTGCATGGCTTTACAGTGTAAGAAACCAAAAGCTCAAACTTCTCATTTCAAGAGTCCCAAGGGTTACTTCTATAGCCAAGAACAACCAGAGCATAGATAAGCTCTTAATGCTAGGAGCTATGACATAGCTAAAAGCCCTTGTAATTCTTGTTCTGTGCAATTTAGAGAATTTCTCTTGGCTGATTATATTTGCAAGGAAATAATTCCACTCACTGGCCCTCGTACACCACAGAATTGAAAATATCTTACTTAATGTACAGTGCTGCAACAGGCTCTTGATTTAACTATGCAAAAGAAAAATGCATATTTTGCAATATGCCTAGGGAAGTGTTTTGTAATATAGTCAGGTAATGATATATCTAAATCTGAAGGATAAAGATTATCTTATTGAAGCCTTGATGTTAAGAATACTTCTTGCGTACTTCTTGCAATGTGCCTAAAGACATTATGAACTTCATTGCAGATTTTAGTTTTAAGAAACTCTTCAGTGTTTAAACGTGGTTTTATTTTCTTAGTGTGACTGGCTTAAGTATGCTTACTTTGCTGTAGCCCCGTGTATTTTTTAAGAGTGTTTTCAGAAAGTCTTTGCAGTTCTTCAAGGTGTGAATTTAAACGTTCTTCAAACTCTTTGGTATGTTTCTCTTCCTCTTGAAGGAACTTTTCAGTTGTTGCAAGGAAGGATGTCTCAGGAGAAGACTAAGACATGCACAGAAAGACATGGTTAGGAAACAACGGCAAGTACAACAACATGCTTGCATTATCAATTTTTAAACTTAAAACATCTGTGCATAGAGCAGCTAATAACCCTCTAATTCTTCACATCTCTCCAAAAAAACACAACTTTGAATATATGTTTTAAAATGTGTTCAGGTGCCTAGGTAACATAATCTGAATACATTTCAACACCTCTGACATTCATTCACAACATTAGGATGTAGATTTTCCACTGAAAATGTAAGTATCCTGATAGACAGAATTAAGCTGCTTCAGAACCTCCAAAGTTTGGATCAGCTAAAGGTCACATCAGTCACTTGTGTAATTTAGACCAGGACAGAGGACAATAACTTGTTCTTTGGAACTACAGAATGTAACCTGTGTTGGGTACTGCTGATTGCCTCCTGTAATTTTCTCTCTTGACTCTCTTCCATCTCATGAGATACTTTCTGAGGAAAGGAAGAAAATCTGTTCTCATTTCAGTGCCATTAACATCAAGGCCTGATATTTTGGAGAGTGTACCAAACCATGAGTGGGTCACCGAAAAATCTTTTTTCCATTTAATGGGGAGCTAGCAGACTGAAGCATAAAACATAAGGAAATCAGTTTTAAAATGGTTGTCATGGAACTTAGGAAAAGACATGAATAAGTCTTTGCTGGAAGCTGGAATCAGTTCTAAACACATAAGAAGCAATTTTCGTTATTTCTTTTTGCTAATATTTAAGATCTGTTCATTGGAATGTCTTCATACAAAAACCCTCTTCTTTATCAAATGAAATCATGATGCTTTAAGTAACTTCAGTGTTTATTTGTGTAGATAATTACAACTTTATGACATGCATTTTTAACAGTTAACTCAAAACAGCTTTGTAGTTTTACTGTAATACTGACAGTATAATAAGAGGAAGGTAATTTTCTGTCTTTATATGGTTATGTATTGAGAAAGATTATTACAATTTATTATCCTAATTAAACTGTATGTAAAAAATATTTTAGTAACTGATAGAATTATTAGTTTAGAATGTCTGGTTTTGTTTTTCCTAGAATGTAAAATGGAGAATTTATCTGTCAATACATCAGATAGGAATGGCTCCAAACAATTTCAATATCAATTTTTTTTGGTAGAAAATGTCAATTCTATCATATCTGCACATTTTTACTCTAAGATCCATTGTATCAGAATGACAAATTCCCTATTTCTGCAGCAATTACAGGCACATTCAGTCTTTGCTTTCAGCTTGGTTTAAATCTGCTCTTTTTCAGGCCAAAAGATGCAAACTATATACAGACTATGCAATATATACTATACAAACTATATACAAACTATACAGAAACACTTTCAAGCACTATTCTATTCATTCAATCTGTTTGCAGCAGACCTTGATATGAAGTTTAGGGATTTCCTAAAGGAAACCCCTTTACTTTTCAAACTACAGCAAGTAAATGATGGTCAGATATAAATTCTGGATATAATTCCACCCCTGTAGATTGAACCAGGCTTTCTGGATGTACATAGTTCCTCAAATGAAATTCACAGATAAAGCAGAATTTTCCTATTCCTAGTGCCTCCAAAGTAGTGTTTTAACAGGATGGGGAAGGAAGTAACATAATTTGCTACATAGGAATGAAGAACCTAGAGGTATTGAATCTCCTTGTTCCACAACATTCTTCTATTAATCCTTGCACAAGCATTGATCTTCCAGTGCTTGAGAAACTCTGGAGGAAAATCACTTTATCCTTACAAGCATGTACCTGATTTCCCACTCACAACTCAACATGATTTTTGTACAAGGGGTTTTCCCTGAGGATTTGAATACCATGGACACGTGTACATTCTTTCTGCTACTCTCATGGTCTGTTTCCTTGTGAAGTTTGGGTTCAGTGATAGAGCTAGCAGTAATATTTTGAAGTATTACAAAAAAGCTTTTGCATTACAAAGAAGACACTCTGTATGGAGGCTTTTCTTAAAGAAACACCTCTGAAATCAATATTGAGCAAATAAAACCCTTCCAACAGCAGATTGATATGAGTACAAGTCTTCAGAAATGTTATCTCAAGTTATGAGAAATTCCTTATAACAATGTATACTGTTGCTGACTTGTCATTAGCAACACATGGATCTCATGATCAAGCCATCTGATAAAATAGTAGTGTCCTTGGCTTCAACTGGTACTTACTTTGATGTGCTTTCTTGAAACACAACATAAACCCCAAATGAGACATTTATGAATTTACTCAGCATTGAGGAAACAATGTTTATCACTCAGAACAAGCAGATGATGGTTCCTTACACCTTAGTATCCTGGGGGTAAGACATTGCTGACTATCATTTTAGATAGCTCCCTAATGCACCGTTTTTATGCACTTTGAGAGAAGGTTGTGTATAAACAGGTCTAAAAGGCAAAATTTCTTGTTAGCAAGTAAGCTTTGCTTTCCAAGGCTCTGATCTGTTTTTTTCACTCTGTTCTGTATTATCTTTACTTTCTGTGCCTGAGGAAGGAAAACCATAAAGAAATTGCTTTAACCCATGTGTCATGAGAGACTCATAGTCTTTAGTTTTGAATTTGTTTTCCTCAGATAGTGCTTCTTTTTTTGTCTTTCAGTTTTCTAACTGTATGCTGCACAGAAATGGGACTATTGGTAAAATTTCGACCAAACTTTTTGGGTAGTCAGGCAACAAGGACTCTGCTTTTTCATTACTCAATTACTCAGTGTCAGCTGACCCCATATTTCCTTGGTGCAGACCAGTAATGAGAATCACCCTTTTGCCTCATTGTTTGCTGTCAATGAAGCAAAATTTGATAAAGATGTGAATCTCCACATGCGATGTGTTAAATACATCTTTTCCTTAGACAAGAACAACTCAAAGTGCTTATGAGTTAACTGGATTGCTGGGCAGAAGCACTCCAGGAAGCCAGGTCTATTCTCACTCACAGAGTGCCTCATTAATTTGCCTAGACTTAATCTCTTTCTTGCCCTGTGAGTTGTGCCTACTTTCTTGGCTGCTCATTAAGCAGGGTGAATGAAAGCACTAATGTTTGGGATAGTCTTACATTTAGAAGTCAAATCATGCTTATAGTCTTCACATGTTTAGTCCCTTCAGCTTCCCAGGAAAGTTCTTATAACAACAAGCCTAGGAATTGGTCTGGCTAATTTTAGCCTCATCGTCTCATATGTCTGGAGGCCTTTTGGGCTAGTTTCCTCCAACCCTACATTGTAATACACCTCAGACAGCAGGTAGAGATGTGTGTCTTCCAAGAAAAATGTGCTTCTGCTTGTATATGAAAATAAAAATCAAGATGCCTAGGACATCATCAAGCCACCGAGCAAGGCGTTTGGAAGACCTAAATACTCAAGCATCTACACACCTTAAAAGTGAGAGGCATGAACCATGGTAGGATCAAGACAGTCAAAATCATTCCTAATAATGTCCAATGCTAGAATTTCCATACATTTCAATTCAATTTACTCAAAAGTAATTTCCCAACCTTTAAGTTAGAAAGTTTCCTAATGCTACAGCCTTTCTTGTCTTATCCCAAGTCTTGAAACGATGTATGTCCACCAAGAGAAACATGACAAAGTTAAAGGTCCAGATTGGAAAGCACAATGTACAGAACAGCTTGCTAATAGAGAGAAATTCTGTAAAATGGACTATTCTGAAATTGCAAATAAACTTATTGGCTTTTTCCCTTTCCCCTTTCCTTTCCCCTTTTCCCCTTTTCCCCTTTTCCCCTTTTCCCCTTTTCCCCTTTCCTTTCCTTTCCTTTCCTTTCCTTTCCTTTCCTTTCCTTTCCTTTCCTTTCCTTTCCTTTCCTTTTTTCAGCGGGAAAGATTAAACATTATGCTGGATATTGGACTGTTCTGCTGAATTGTCTTTCCAGAGATTGGGAATGGTTCGAGTGGCCATTTTGTGAAGTTGTTCATTTCCAGAGAAGAACGCACCCTAAGGTACCGTTCAGACAAAGAACATCTATTTCAATTTAGAAAGACTTGAAACAATAAATTCTGAGTTTCTGGCAATTTTCATTGAATGCTAGCAGAGCACTCTTGTTTAAAGGCAGAAGTGGTTTTCCATAACCTCTAAGTGGGAATGTGAAAGGACAGTGACTCCAGAGCACTATTCATTAAGGTTGTTCAAGGATTCTCTAGTGGGAGAGGAGATATAGGTCTTTGTCAAAAGCCTGAGAGATTATTTTCTCTCTAAATACTAAAAGAGTAATTTTTGTAGATTTCAGAACATCACCTCCTGCTCTGATGTTTTCAATTAGTGCTACAGTATTCTTCAGAAAAAGAAATTTTGAATATACTGGAGATCTGACTTTCATGAAACATCAATTGTGAAAAATCTGCCAAAGAACTCTGATTTATAATACACTGCATTTTTTCCTCTTTGTTTCGTCATGCAATGGCTTTCCATTCAAACACAGAACTCTAGAGTAACAGACAGTTGACTTGTTTTGCCTCTAAAGCTGTAGTATCAGTCAGTCTGAATGATAATTTAATTTTGTTGATCTTCTGAACTTTTACCTTCTTTGATCCCTGTGATTTGGACATAAAACTCTGTATGAGAAACATCCCTTACTTAGAAGTTTAATTTGTACTTTGCCCACACATCTTCTGACAAGTGTTTTCCTCATTGCCTTCTCAATTGTCCTGGTATCAACTCTGTCCTGAGTGCCAGCTGGATAATAGTTTTCCTGTAGATTGCAAAACTGTGTCAAATGGGCATTATCCATGGCCTGGCTGGAAACAGAAGCTTTGTACCCTGCTATCTCTGTCTGACTCTCTGACAGAACAGAAGATGAGGAGTGGTGTTTATCAGACTTTCCTGAAAAAGTCCAAACAATTCTTTTTGCTACTAGCAGTTTGAAGAGGAAAACTTCCGATCCATGAGAAACTAAAAGTCATGTACTTAACATTCACACAAAACATAAGAAAATAAAAATGGAAGTGAGGTCAAACACTAAGGACTGTGTGCTTCCCTCCCTGTTCTCTGACTACTGAGACACAGCTGCTGGGACCATGGACACTGAAGAGCTGCACTGCTGTACTTGTTTCTCAGGCAGGCCATCACTGAGCTGCTGCCTACCTGCAGTGAGATTCCAGCAGCCAGGTGGTAATAGGAAAAGGTGTGAGCACTTTTCTGAAGTGAACAGCAGTATGGTCTCTGCAACCTGCTTTAAGATGACTTAGTGTCATGATGCCTCTTCTACCCTAATTACTGTGTGAAATGGCAAGAATATTGCCTACTGGTTCTTCTCAGTAAATGCTGAATTACAGTCTTTCATTTTCTTCTTTTGAGGGGACTCAGCCACACACAGTTCAGGATCTCCTGGGTACAAAGAAACATATATCACATATATCCAATATATCATATTGGACAGAGAGATGGCTACAGTCCGTTCCCCATTAACCGGTTAGTTCTAAAAAAATTTGGTGTGATCACACAGTTTGAGATCTGAGTGCTGAATTTTCAAGTGGAGTAAAATAGTGGCCTGTACTGGATAAGGAAGAATAAAAGATACTAAGGAAGAGTATAAAATTCAAAGAATTCTGGAAAGATTTTCTTAAGAATTTGCCATAGACAAGCTTGGATGTATCCCACTTTTCATGGATTTTGCTAATCTGCACCCTATGAAGATCTGCATCCTGTGAAGACTGAAAGAAAGAATTTTGCATTATTTCATTTCAAGAAAAATAAGGATTACAGCACTTATTTCTGTTCCTTTCTGAATGCAACAGCTCACGCATGGAAAATAATTGTTGCAGTTCTTCTAATTTCATCCATCAATCACATATTGTAGAAACCTGATGAGTCTAACAGCATGTAAGGTGTAAGTTTGCAGGTATTATGGAAATAGACTTAAAGCACAGTACTCCTGCAGAAGGGAATATGAAGCAAAGTATTCCCATGCAGAAGGCAGTGAGCTAAAATGTAGGAGTCTGTCCCACCGTCACATAATGGCAGGTAATTATCATCACTGTTAATGGACAGAATATGGCCCAGTAGGGGATGTCTAATGTTCAGAAAAACTGGATTTATGTTAGAATAAGGTATTTTCATTTTTGCTGGGCTGGCATTGAATAAATAATAATGACAACTGAGGTAATCTAATCTTTGGCTCCTCCAAGATTGCATCTGGTCCACAGAAGGATCTCTGAGAATATAGAAAAACAGTTACTTACTGGTAATTTGATTTCTTCTGCATCGTAAGCATGGCTTAATAAAATACCCGTTCTGCCTTTTTCAGGAAACAGTCCACCAAAACACAAAGGATGCTCTGTTGCTGGTGATGGAGATTTATCATCTAGTTCCATTTCACGACCTCTGTCAAGTTTGTGATGAGATAAAGTGCGATCACTTTTGGAACCACTGATATCACCTTGGCCATGTGAAGTAGGACTACAGTTTCTATGGTATTCACTGGCTGTGAATATAGCAGTCTGTTGAAGTTTCATATGCCTTTCATCTTCATTTTGGAAAGTTCTAAAATAGCAGTAAAAAATTCAAAATCAAAGTATGAAGAGCAGTTAAAAGTGAAAGTCATCACAGCAAAACTATGTTTTTTTGTTTGTGAAATTCTGATTACTCAGCTGTTTAAACTGTTTCACACATCAAATTGTGGGCATACCTGCAGAAGTTTAGCAGCTTTCCAGCGAAGTTAATGTGAATGTCTGAGGGTGCATAATTTGCTTTAGCTCCCACTTAAATCACTCTGATTTAAACCTTTTAATTGCAACTTAAGTTGAGTAACCTTGCCATATAATTTTGCAGGATAAGATCTAAACCACAAACTTGCTTCAGTATGATGGGAAAGAGACTGAAATTAGCCACACAAATGGTAAACATAAAATATTAAAGTGTAAGTGAGATGGGAAACAAAACCTATTGTTTGTTATTTGGACAATTAGTCAATTTTGATCTAATATAAACATAAACAACTGTGTTTGAGAAGTTAGAACAAATTTTTAAATCAATTAAAAAAAAAAGCTAGTATAGGAAGCTAGCTGCTGCTTTACTGCATTATTAATTTATATCCATATGCATGCTTTTTTTTTTTTGGTGCACAAGAACATGCTTTTGTAACAACAAGGGAAACTTGGGAATTTTAAGCCCTTTATTATGATATTCTGTAAGTCTTTTATCCTGCTTACAGGGGATGTAAAATGGATGTAAAAGCATGTATCTGTATTCATTTGTAGTCTGTCAAGCAAACACTTTTATGGTTAATTGCAACTCAACAAAAACCTCTTTGCTTTCTGTTTGAAATATCTTCTCCTGACAGATAACTGAATGATTCTGAAACCACACTGATTAAAGAGCAGAAAATTTTGAGACTATCTTGCCCAGATGTCTGCTGAATTAGACTAATTTTCAATTGCATCTTTACTTGTACAATATACCAGAACATGAAAAAAAAATCAATTATTTCAGATTTTATTACATTTCTGCTACAATATTCCCAGCAATAGTAGAAAATGCCACTGTACTGAGCTCCATCCTTATGAAAATAAAAGAAATTTCACTCTTGGGAGGCAACAACTATACTTAAACATGACAGCTGTTTGAAATGATCCTATCATTGAAAAGATTCTAAAACACTTCACAAACCTGAAATGCACCTACAAAAGTTTTTAAAGATCAAGTTCTCTACCACTAAAATTGTTATGAATATCTAAGGATATGCACTGCTGCTAGATCCTGCTTTTATTTCTAATAGAAAGGGAAGAATTTGCCAAGCACTGTGAAAGGGCAGTATTGTCTGTTGAATGTTCGCACCATCATTTTCTAACATCAGTTTAAACATTCAGTTCTGGGAGAGGGTGGCTGTGCAGTCTTTATGAACTCTGCTAATCCATAAGCACACTGGGCCTTCAACGTTAGACTGAGGGCTCCATAAATGGACAGTAAAGAGAACTAAGCAAGAATGCACTTTTATTTGATTATAAAGTAGTAGTGACTAAGATGCTCCAAGTATACTACTATAATTTTTGTTTATATATTCAAAGATAAAACCCTGAGAATATTTACCAAATCCTCCAGTTTTCCAGATCACCTAAAATCATGCTGGTGACAGAATGTCCTCCTTTCTTTCCTGCTTTTCCTTAAAATAAATATTCTTCTGCTTTTCAGGGCATGGGAGAATGATTTTTATATATATATATATATATATATTTGCCTGTTTTAAAGTCCATTCTGTTTATTATTTTTATGAAGGGTGCAGTGAAAAAACACTGCCACAACTGAAGACAGACGCTATGAGTAATAAAACCACAGGCTTTGTTTTATTTTTGTTTTCCATTTTGCGTTCTGACCTTTTTGGAACTAATTTCCTCTGTAAATCCACAGCAAAGTCTATGTGATCTTTTTTTTTTTTTCCCCAGAACTGGTTTCCTACGTGTTCAATAATAGTTATTACAGTTATGTTGCAGCTTATTTCAGTAAGAGCAGAATTGTCAGACTTGGGTGCCTACAGTTATGGTATCTTTCACACAGAGAAATGACATCTCCTCCCCACCCACCCCCCAAAACCACCAATTATTTACAGGAACTCCACTTTCTGCTGTAATCTGTATGATTGCTGGGGCTGTTTGCTATCTTGGAGAAACATGCCACCTACATTTAGGTGCTTTGATATGGATCCCATGCCTTCACTTGAGACAAATTTCACAGTTGAGGCTTAAATTTCTGTCAGCTCAGTGCAAAATAACATCTGAAACCAGAGTTCTAGTTTGAATACAAATGTAAAGGTAGGCAAATCTCTTCATGTTTGTGAAAAAAAAGAGGCCATTTGTTAAAGCTGGCAATGCAAAATCACTCCAACTGCAGTTGAATAAATGCTTTTAGTGGGTTTATAGAGTATTTAACACATACACATACTTGACAAAAACAATATTACTGTTGGCATGGAGACACATGGGATGAGAAGTGAAAGAAGAATGTCCTCACAAAGAGAATTTCAGACAGAATAGGTTTTTCCAGAAACACATATGTATAAAATCAGCCTGGTCCCTATGAGATCAATGACTTCAGTGATGCTAAACAAATGCCTTACACAGCTTATGCTGCCTGACATACCTCTCCCAGAGAAAGAGAAGAATGGATTTTAACAACCAGTGGATGGTTGGACTGGATGATCTTATAGGTCTTTTCCAACCTTAGTGATTCTGTGATTCTGTGTGATTCTGTGACCAAATATCTGCACAATCAGTCGTATTACTTTGACCTTGCAAATAAAAATTAACTTGATTTTTAAAAATTGATAGAAAGTGTTTTTCTGAAAATATTGTTTTTTCTGCTTCTGGTTAATCCATTGCAATAGCTGATATAGTGGTGAGTATGATGAAAAATATGGGATCTCCACAGGGTAGTGAATACTTCCTTACAACAGATAGTGAAGATCCGTTAAGATCCAGCTGTGTCAGCAAGTTTCTAGTCCTAATAGAGATTAGTCCCTTTGCTTTTGCCACATGATGAAAGTGCTCTTTGGCTTGAGCAATCACCTAATTTGTGTATGTGTTTATAGTAATTTCTTATGGGAACTCACATGCTTTAATTTCTGAAGAAGCAGGCTAAGCACATTGGCCTTCATCAGTGAAAATCATCTTCAATCATGAAAACATTTAAATTAACTGTATGTGGAGAAGGTATAAAGAAAAGATTAAAACTTTGGGGATAGGGAAAACTTATTTCAGTGTCAATTAAAGCCAACAGTCATCTATGAGAATAGTAATAAAGTAAGGTGGTTATAGGTAGGATGTGGCTCCAGTCTTTTAACAAAAAGATGACACTTCTCAATGTGTTTCTTCTTGATATTTAGAATTTCAGTGTACACTCAAGGAAAGAAATGCCTCTTGCTAAACAGTCACTGTAACTTCTTGAAATTTCCTGTATTTCTTTAGAGCTCTCCTATCCAGCTACTGACTGAGATTCTTCTACTGATTGGGAGAGAAAAACACTTTTGCCCATTCTGCAAAAATTCCAAGGTTTCAGAATCCATAAAGGGCAAACAAAAAGTACAGCTTCAGAAAACCACCATTTAAAATGCAGCCTCCCCACCCTGCATGAAAACTGTGTTTTCTACTTTTTTACTATATAAAAAAAAGTATTTTGCCCTTCCCAATGCCATAATTACCATGGAAACAGAACTGCAAATTAAAACAGAATTAACATGGTTTATGCTCACAATGCAGTAAAACATACCCCAGAGTAAAACTGAAACAACAATTGCTTGCTTTATGTGGACACAATAGATGGCTGAACATTCATTTTTTGTTTACTGAGAAAATCTTGAGGTAGTTCCGCATCTGGGGAACAGAGAACTAACACTACATAGAAGGCCAAATCTTAAAAAGATGGACTGACTGATGCTTATATGCAGGCTCAATCTTTCTGTTTCATCAGATTAATTCAGTTGTAATTTAAACTGTGTTCAGCAGGGGTGGTTGAGATCTCTGCTGTTGGAAGGTTTCTCCTTCCCTGTTTAGGTTTAACATCAGTTTTCAATGGCTGTGAAATCAAGGCCCTGCAAATTACCTGCACAGCTCTATTGTTTGTTAAACTTAAATTTATGAATTTCACAATTTCATGAAATTCTATGACCATAGTTCCTCTTGTACATTGAGTGTAGTTAGAATGGGAATGGGAAAACTTTCACTCACTTCAGAAGAGTGGAAGCACAGACAAAAACTGCACTGTCCAATTTTGGTGAAATTGAGATCTACAGGTGCATAGTAATCTGTATTTTGGTTTGTGAATCTTTCATTTAGCAAAGCCTTCAACATCATTTGAAGTTTAGTAGGAAAACAGCTATATCTGCCACATATATCTCTGTGTATGTGCATATATTCATATGTATACATGTACGTAGATACTTATAATGAATACTACTTCCTGTGAGTGAAACATCACATTTAAAAGGAAATTTTAGATGAATGTGTATCAACAGATAATTTAATGCTTTTTTGTTACACAGAAGAAAACCACTCTACGTTTTGTCAGTGACTGACCACACAACTTTGAAAACTCAGTCCATGCAACTCCGGATCCGCATTATTTAAACATTACTTCACAGAAATGTTTTACATTTGTGCTATTGTGTAAGTTTTGTATTACAAATGATCAAAATATTTAGTTTTCTATTAATTTTTAATCTCCTGCATTATGAAAAACTGCTATGAAATAGCAGAGGTTAACTTTTTTTTAAATTACTGCAATGTCATCATTATAACACATCTGAAGGTCCTTCAGCTCCACTGAATACAGGGAATTAAGAAAGAAAGAAATCACTAGAATGTTTTCTACAAGCCTGAATATTCTTAAAATACATTATTTTTTCCCTAATAAGGGGCCTACTGTAATAACAAGTTATTCAGGGCAGTTGAAATAATGTTTCTTCTCAAAATCAGGTCACCCAAGAGCACCAAAACTTTGCGAGGCATTAAAATACACATAGTAAAACTTCCAACAAACGAGACTGGTGGGACACAAAGCTTTTCAGCAGAAGCTGTAGTTCAAACTGCTTATTAAGATAACCTCCTGTGGAACAGTTTACTTCTCATATTGATTTGTATATCCTTTCCTTTCCTTGTTTTTTCTTTTTATTTCGCAATAGAAATTCATTCTGTCCCATTTCTCAATACCTGGAGCCAAGAAAAACTGAAGCAGCACACTAAAAGATTCTTAAATTGTTTCATGTGTAAAAGAGCAAAATAACAACGAAACATTTCTGGGACTTCAGTTATCAACAAGTTCAGTTACCCACGGACACAAAAAAAGTAGGAAATCCTCACAAATATACCAAGTAGGCCTGATATTTAGATTTTTGCGAGTTCTGAGTCAACAGAAAAGGAAAAAATGCATGAGTTTGGCTTCTGGAAAGCCTACAGAAAACTTAATATATGTGTACAAACTAAATGTTACCTCTCTTCCTTTTCTTGCATCTTTGAATGGGTTTGGTAGCTGTGCTCTGTTTCTCCATGTTTATCCACCCCACTCAGCATCAGTGTTTCTGCGTGATTCTGTAGTTTAACAAGACTGTTTTGTAATCTCGCATTCTCATGTTCCAGTTTTTGAATAGAAGCTGTGAAATCTCCATGTTTTTTGTTAGATAAATCGATACTCTGTGAAAGGAGATAAAGCCCTCACTCAATGAGCATTTTTTCCACAATAAATGGGTTTTTGTATTTTAAACAAGCAAAACAATGTTCTATGCTAAAGAAAGACCTAGCTACCACATCTAATCATGCAACACTTACAGCAAGCCAAAAGAACTACCAACAGAAAAAAATGCTGTAGATAAATGTGAAAGAAGGGTATAAGCTGCTGTAACACAATAAAACAAAATTTCTCAAGGAACAGGACATTCAAACAACTCTTATTGTTGTAAATTCATTATCAGTGGCATTGTAGAATGTATGACATAAAAACAACCACGACTATAGTTATAGACTTGATTACTGCCTTCAGTAATGACTCTACCAAAAATAGCAAGAATTATTATGTAAGTTAATTATTAGCTAAAGTATATGTCTACAGGCATAGTTTAATATCTGTGTCAAACCTTCAGTTTCAAAAGCAGTATAGCCACATTAGCGCAGTGCTTTCCACCTGTGTTACTAAATCCTGCCTCTTAGTCAGATTAACCCACATGAAATAAAAGTCAAAATAATGAAAGGACAAACAATGCATGCACTACAACCACAGGAAATCAAAAGTGGAAGATTAGCACTGGAAGTAAACTTCCAGAGTACAGTGTAACACTACACCACTGTCAACCAAAAATAACCTGCAAGGACTTGTCAAATTATACATAAAAGACTGAAAACACATCCAATTTACTAAGAAGTGCTCACCTACATTTCTAGTTTCATCCTATTCTTTTGGAACTTAGTAGTTCATGACCACTAGGGATTTGGTATGTGTACATTGCTAGCACAAGTAGGGTTCCTGCACCTGTCTGTTTTTTTGCACTGTTTGATTTAATCTTGTCTCTTCCTACGAACCAGGCCTTAGTTTGCTAGTTCTGTGGCAAAATTATGAGCCATGCTGGCATGGAAGTGCCAGAAAGTACAAGAAAATTCAACATTTTGTCCAAGGATGGATGGAGGGTTGAGGTTCAGCTATGTCTCCTGTTTGGAGAAGTGAGGCAGAACACACAAAGGAGGCTGCTAAGTCACCTTAACGTTAATAGCTCTAGAATCAGCAGTACAGTTATAACGGCAAGAGCCCCACAGCTGAGCTGACACAGCTACATTGCTTTGGAAATCTAAACAAGTACCTCTTCCTGGTGATGCACAACACTGTACTGACTCAGGCTAGCATTATTTTGAGGATTTTGTGTTGTGGTCTATTATAAAAGCACATCCAAAACCATCATTCCGTGCAATCTTAACATCCAAATACCAGATAGTACTCAGTGTTTAGATCTTCACAATAAAATAGTGAAGTAAGAAGGAATTATCAAGTCCATAAATGCACTGGTATGTGTAGTGACCTTTGCATGTCTAGTAACTGGAAAAAGGTGACATTCTTGGGTGACATTTGCCAATTTACAGTGAGACAATTAACAGGCTATGAGTTCCCCAGAGACATACCTACATACAGCATTATTTACAAACAGTATTTCAGTGTTTTATAGTGACAGGCACAGTAACTGCAGATGTTCTGTAAGGAGGGGAGGTTTTGAAATGGTTTGTGGAAGGCAGAGGATGTAATTTTTATCGTATCTCTAGAAGTTACAGTTCCACATTATGTTACATTGTATGCTTTTATAAATTAAACCTTAAATGCTCTCTTTTGAAGGAAAATAGATACTAAACTGAAAATAAGCTGGGTGGGGTCGAAACATTGCTTCACCTTTTTTTTACACTGCTATTTAAATGTCACATCATCAAAGAAGTAAAGTAGTTAAAAAGGTACATATTTCTGTCTCTGAGAGAATGACAACTGTTTAAAAAAGGATATTTTCTGAAATAAGTCAGTCACAATAAGTAGGCCTCAATAAATTTTTCAGTGTAAAAGTAACTGAAAAGTCTTTCTTAATTCTAGCTTATTACATTTAACGTCAAAATTATTGCTAGCTATCCTCATCTTCAGGCTTCATGAGAATACAATTTGTATTTTACTTGTTTATTTTTATTTATTTATTTCACACAAACCAGAGACTTTTAAAGCTGCCATTTCAATCAACATGTACAGGTACTATAAGGAACTGCTCTTCATATTGCATAGATTAAAATAAAATAAAATAAATTACCATACAACTTTTATACTTCTGATTTTCCATGATCTCCTTTAGATGTGTATTTTCAGATTTGATAACTTTGTATCTGAAATTCAACAACTAGGAAAAAAATAAATTATTAGTTATATATAAGGACATTGCTGTTCACTTGGAAAAATACAGAGTCTATCATAAAGTCATAGAATAGCTTAGGTTGAAAAGGACCTTAAAGATCATCCAGTTCCAGCCCCTTGGCATGGGCAGAGTTGCCACTCATTAGATTAGGCTGCCCAGGATCTCATCCAACTTGGCCTTGGATGCCTCCAGAGGTCGGGCATCCACAACCTCTCTGGGCAGCAGTGCCAGGGCCCCATTGCCCTCTGAATAAAAAATTTCTTCCTAACATCTAACCTAAATCTGCCCTCTTTTAAAGCCATTCCCCTTTGTCCTATCACTAACTGACTGTTGTAAAAAGTCAGTCTCCTCCTGCTTGTATGCTTTCCTCAAGTACTTGTAGGCCACAATGAGGTCACTCTGGAGCCTTCTCTTCTCCAAGCTAAACAAGCCCAACTCCCCCAACTCTTCATCAGAGGAGAGGTGCTCCAGCTCTTCGATTGTCTTTGAGGCCCTCCTCTGGACCCATTCCAACAGCTCTGCATCTTTCCTGTTCTGGGGGTCCCAGGCCTGGGCACAGTACTGGGCACACAGATGGGGCCTCATGAAGGCAGATCAGAGGGGGACAATGCCCTCTCTCTCACTGCTGCCCCTTCTGTGATGATGCAGCACAGAACACAGTTGGCCTTCTGGGCTGCAAGTGCACACTGCTGGCTCATGTCCAACTTCTCATCCATCAGGATGCCCAAATCCATCTCTTCATGGCTGTTCTCAATGAGTTCTTCTCCCATTCTGTACTCATAACTGGGATTGCCTAGACTTAAGTGCAACACCATGCACCTGGCCTTGTTAAACCTCATTAGAAGATAGGCATGTATCAGTTCAACTAGTTTTACAAAATATACATAAGTAATCATGAACTATAAGAAACATTTTTGTTTTAAATACAGCAATATTAAATGTGATAGGACTAGAGGGCATTGCCTCAAGTTGCATCAGGGGAGATTCAGGTTGGACATTAGGAAAAATTTCTTCTTGAAAAGAGTGATCAGGTGCTGGAATGAGCTGCCCAGGGAGGTGGTTGAGTAACCATCCTTGGAAGTGTCCAATAAATGTTTAGATGTTGTACAGAGGGACATGGTTTAGTGGAGAAATATTGGAGGTAGGTGGTTGGTTGGACTGGGTGATCTTGGAGGTCTTTTCTAGTCTTGGTGATTCTATGATTCTAAATCACGAAGAAATACTAAATACTCTATAAGAGACATAGAAATGAAGTGCCAGAAGTTTTGTTTACCTTTTTGAAAGAAGTAATCATTTAGGAAAACAAGAGATTACACATGCAGTATGTGTGGTCTGGTAAAGAGTGCTACACAGCAGCCTCACATTTTCCTGAATACTAACTTTCCCACTGTCAAAAGTAGCTATTACATTAACCACTACTTTTTATATGCAACAAGCCTCTCAGAAAACCTAGATACCCATACACTCTTCATAGGTATCATGGTTATTTTGGTTGACATAACTAAGTAATGGGGATAGTATATTTGCTTTTCAAACTGAAATTTACCATTTAAAACATGAGTACTTACAGTTTTCAGCTTTCAAATTGATAGAATTTTCTAAGTATATTTGTAACATTCTTTAAAACTTTTAAAAACCTGAAAAGTTAGGAAGTATTCTAGGCTATCTAATAATTCTAATGGTTAAGTACTTACAATAACAACAAACTTGAAAATTTCCATATCTTTTGCATACTAAAATGGTGACTACGATTAATGGTCAAAATGATTTGCAATTTAGATGTACAGTTGACATTTAGTGGTGTTTTATTGTTATGGCATCAATTTGGCTGCTTTTGTAACGTTTATCAAATATCACTGCTGATGAAAACTACATAAAGAAATGCTACACCCTTTTTTAACAGATAATGTATGTCGTTATGTGTGGAGTAAAATGACCTAGGATGCTTTTGCCTGATTACATACCTGTTGTTTGGCTAGCAATTTGTCTTTTATCTGTAACTCCGTTTTTAATCGTCTTTCCAGAAGACTAGCTTTCTCCATGATAGTTGCTATAGTGATCTCCTTCTGATGAAGCTCTTCTGTCAGGTCAGAGATTTCTGTCCTTATTCTTTCCTGCTCAGAGCAATGTGATGGCTCCTCTCGATAGAGATGGTTTCTTATCTGTTGCAAATATGTTTCAAAAAAAACCCCCACAAAAGCATATATATATTGTTGTGCAGTAAATACAACTGCATCACAAACCACCCACTCACTAGTGACTTTTTTGCTGCCTGCTTCCAAGACCCCAACTCTTCTAACCAAGTCAGACATTTTTGAGATTTTACAACTAAGTGTCTTTCTTCATGAGACAATGCCCATAGCTGTATTAATTTTTACACCTTTTTTCAGTCTTTTTGTGTTTCCATTTGCCTATTTAGTATTAGAAATGAGCAAAACACAAAATGTTTAAATTCAATGTTTAAAAGAATGCAATAATGTCAATTGTATGAGTTGGAATTTATGCAAAAAAATATTCAAGGAAATATTCTTCCAGTAAACCTTAGTATGATTTACTAATATTGCTCCAAAGTCAACTGAGGCTGCATTGAACATATTTTTAACCTAAAATAAATTTGGAGCAATATAAATAAATAAACCTGGAGACTGAATAGTGAGAAACTATGATAGAAATATTGTATATGATAAATGAACTCATAAGAATTTTTCTGCCATTACTTATAAAATGTAAGGTCAAGTTTTCTGCACTTCTCTCCTATGCAGGGCTCTCCAAAGAATCAACACAAAGATTGTTTTCATAATCTTTCTATCAATAAGCATTATATTATCTAAGAAATACAACTACAAAACCAGCATAAATAGTTTTGAATGCATTTTAATAACTCTTCAAACCATCCATAATCCGTAGCAGATGGCATTTCATATTTATTTATGCAAGCCACAGAGAAACACTAGAATTATAAACAAATAGATGTGGATGCAAAAAATCCAAGATTGCTGCAGCATCCAAGTCAGCTGCACCAGTTCCAGATGTTCCTGCCTACATTGCTACTCAGCAAAAAACACAGCAAGCCCATAAGGGGAGTTTGGGGCATTCTCTTACTCAAAGTGTTTTCACTTCCCAAGTCATACGTGATTCCACAGTGCCATGCCACCATTGCTTGCACACAGTACTGAAATGTACAGTGCAACGTGAAGCAAACTCAAAAGGAAAGAACATTGCCCTGGGTTGTGCGGCAGATGACTGATCAGCCTTGTGTAGCTACCAGCCACAGGGACTTTTAACAGTTGATTTCTTAGTATGTGTTACATCTGAGACCATCTACAAATAGCTACTTTCCTCCTACAACTTAATTAATTACCCATATAAACTTAGAGGGCTTACTACTTGTAAGGTATTATCTGAATCACAGTGATGTTTAAAACTCACCTCTTCTATTACCTTTGCTGTAAGCACACAGCATCAAAATGCCAATTGCACAACTATACAGTTACCATGTATGAAAACTTTTTTCATATATGAAAACTCCATATTCTCCAAAAACTATAGTTTATTCTCCATCTCCCCTCTTCACATGACCAAGGCCAGTGCTTCGCTTTCTCTTTTCAAAATCCAAAATTGCAGTGTAACATCTAGAAACACTTAACAGCATGAAGTACCTTGCTTAGCACTTCTCGTTGGCTGTTTTGATTCTGTGCCTGTAGTAATAAATCAGCATTTTTATTTTCTGATTGCTCAGTAAGTTGTACAAAGGATGATCGATGCCTTTAAAAAAACAAACAAACTATGAAATAAACAGAATGTGCAAGAATATCTACCTTATAATATCAAAAGAATTAGCTCACACCAAGAATTAGCCTAGAACAAGTTGGATCTTGAGAAATTTCTAGCGATGAAGGACAATGGAAGAGTGTGCAGAAAGGATCCTGAAATCTCTTGTTGATTAGTATTTCATACATTCTCAAGACAGTTATGGCAGATTAAAGAAACCATAAAAATATGAACCTTTTACTCAAAGAAGGCTAGGAAGAACTGTAATTGCACTACTTCCAATGTGTTTTAATGCCAAGGAATATAAAGGCACTTTAAGCAAAGAAATAAAATAGATGAAATACATCAGTTTGCAAAGATCTAGGCAACATAAAAGCCTTTTAATACAGCTGACACCTACTGCATGCAATCTCATCCTATATGAAAATATTTATTCAAAAATTGTTTAGTCTGTCCCCTGAATTGCAAGTATCTTTTTAAACAGATTTAATTTAGAATCATCATAGAATCACAGAATTCTTAGAGTGGGAAGGGACATCTGAAGGCCATCTAGTCCAACTTCCCTGCAGTGAACAGGGATACCACAGCAAAATGAGGTTGCCCAGAGCCATATCCAGCCTTGCCTTGAAAGTCTCCAGGGATGAGGCATCCACCATAACAGCAGGCAACCTGTTCCAGTGCCTCACCACCCTCACTATAGCAGATTTTTTCCTTATATCTAACCTAAATCTACCCTCCCTGAGTTTCCCCAGGGAGGTGGTTGAGTCACCATCCCTGGATATGTTTAAAAGGATGTGGTGCTCAGGAACATGACTTAGTGGAGGGCTGTTAGTTAGGGTAGTATGGTTAGATCATGGTTGGACTCGATGATCTTTAAGGTCTTTTCCAACCTGAGTAATTCTGTGATTCTATGATTCTATGAAGCCATTTCTCCTTGTTCTATCACCACAGACCCTGCTAAAGAGACTGTGCCCAAATTTTCATACATTTAAACTAAATGTAAGAAAAAAATTATTAACTCAGTAGTCATGAATCCAAATATTGTCTTTAGCATACATACATTTCCTGCACATCCTTATGCTCTCTGATTTTCAGTAGTTCTGCACGCAACTGTTGGCATTCCAGTTGTATCTTTCTCCAGAGAGCATCCCGTGATTGCAGCTCATTTCTCATCTCCAAAAAGCTTGCCTCTATGTTCTAAAGAAACACAAAAAGGTAAATAAAATAAATAAAATGAGAAAGTATTAGCTCAAAATGCTTTATCCATCATACTTGAAAGGTCATGGCAGTCTGGTGAAGTTCCCACTGACTGGAAAAGGGGAGATATAACCCCCATTTTGAAGAAGAGAAAAAAAGAAGATCAAAGGAACTACAGGCCAACCAGTTCTATTCCTGGCAAGATCATGGAGCAGATCCTCCTGAAGTCTCTACTAAGGTAATGGAAAATAAAGATGAGGTGATTGGTGGTAACAAACATGGCTTCACCAAGGACAAGTCATGCCTGACAAACCTGGTGGCCTTTTATGATGAGTTAGTGTCAGCAGATAAAGGAAGAGCAACTGACGTCATCTACCTGGACTTGTGCAAAGCACTTGACACTGTCCCACATCACATCCTGGTCACCAAATAGGAGAAAAATGAATTTGGTGGATGGGCCACTCATTGGATAAGAAACTGGCTGGATGGTTGCACTCAGAGAGTGGTGGTCAATGGCTCAATGTCCAAGTGGAGACTGGTGATGAGTGGTGTTCATCAGAGACTGATGCTGGGACAAGTGTTACTTAACATTTTTGTAGGTGACATGATCAGTGGGATCAAGTGCACTCTCAGCAAGTTTGCAGATATCGCCAAGCTGAGTAGTGCAGTTGACATGCTAAAGGGAAGAGATGCTATCCAGAGGAACCTGGACAGACTTGAGAGGTGGCCCATGTCAACATCATGAAGCTCAACAAGGCCACATGCAAGGCCCTGCAATTGAGTCGGGGCAATCTCAAGCACAAACACAGGCTGGGAAGTGAATGGCTTGAGAACAGCTCTGAGAACAATTTGGACATGTCAGTTAATGAAAGATTCAACATGAGCCAGCAGTGTGGGCATGCAGCCCATAAGGTCAATCATATCCTGGGTCGCATCAAGAGAAGTGAGACCAGCAGGTCAAGGGGTGTGATTCTGCCCCTCTACTTTGCACTCATGAGACCCCACCTGAAGTACTGTGTCCAGTTTTGGGTCCTCCAACACTAGAAGAACACTGAGCTGCTGGAGCAGGTCCAGAGGAGGGACATGAAGATGGTCAGAGGGCTGGAGCACCTCCCCTATAGGAACAGGCTGAGAGAGTTGGGGCTCGTAAGCATGGAGAAGAGAAGGATCCAGAAGGACCTTATCACAGCCTCCCAGTACTTGAAGGGGGCCTACAGAAAAGCTGGGGACGGACTTTTTATAAGTAGCAACAGGATGAGGAAGAATGGCTTCAAACTGGAAGTGGGTAGATTTAGACTAGATGTTAGGAAGAAATTATTTACTGTGAGGGTGGTGAGACACTGGAACAGGTTGCCCAGCAAGGTTGAGGATGTCCCTCCCTGGAGTTGTTCAAGGCCAGGCTGGATGGGGCTGTGAGCAACCCAGTCTACTGGGTGTCTGCCTATAGCAGGGGGGATAGAACAAAGGCCAAATAATTCCTGATTCTATGATTTTATGATCATTTCTGACACCTGTATGATGTGTTTGAAAAGATATAAATGCTTTTATTCTGAGTTGTATCTCTGAAGAAGGCATTACTTCCATGTCATCTCCTTTCTCCAGAAAGGTCTAAAGATCAGATGCTGAACATTCTTCAGCTTTTGCAGTCTTTCAGTGCATATCTCTGAAACTGTCATTGGAAATATCACTGCAAAATTATTTGTCACACTAAATGTATCTAAAATATGTGGTTTGCTTTATTCAATATCTTCTTCACATGTGAACGATGCTTCATGTGTAAGAATTTGTACTGTAAGTAGCTAGCATTTTTATCCTAACAGCATTTCCAGTTTTATAAGCATGAAAACTACAAGGCTATAGAAAAGCAGGCTTATATGTGTGTCTTCATTAAATGTTGCCTGAAGGCTTGGAGCAGGTGCCTGTAGACTTATGTGCTTAGATAAGGTGTGTTTAATCAACACCAAAACTACTTCTGTCTTTGTAGAGGTAATTCCCTATTTAGATCAACATCACCAAATTTTCACATTTGTTAGGGAGTCCACGAATCTTGTCTCTACTTTACCTGGCATTTCTGGCTGATAATGTGGCCTCATGCTATATGTAATAATTGACATCATGAAATCTAAATTCCTATAGCAATTGCCATAAGATATGTTAAAATCATACTAAAGTTATCAAATAACAAAAGGAGCAACAATAATCAGATTCTTACAGTAGTAATACCTAGAAACATTTCCTGTCATTCAAGATTTAGATAAAAGAAATGGATTTTCCATGGATGCTAATCCTTTGCCCTTAAAATTGTTACACCAAAAACTAGGATTTTTCATAATTTCTTCCCTTTAATATAATATAGGTGCCACATTTAAAAGCAAAAATGAGACTTCTAAACTTTCAAAAGACTACTTCAAAAATGGAAACAAAAATGACACTGCAAGCAGGAAACTTCAAAGGTTTATTTCCCTTAGAGCCTCATATTAGAATGACCTTCCTTCCAAGAAGCCCGGGGTTTTCCTCTGTCTGAAAGAGCTGCCAAAGACAGATATGAAGCATTTTTGTTTTTTTTTTTTTAATGGGGACTGCATATACAGATTCATTCATCAAATCTTGTGTTAAATTAAGCCTGAGAGAGCTTTTTAAACTTGGAAATGCAAGTCTGGGCATATTCTAGTGAACTAAAGCTTAATGAATTTTTAAAATTGTCAGCAGGAACTTGCTTGTGATCATCTTAATGACTTCAACATCCAAGATATAGTCACAACTGGTACATAATACATTAATTTGAGGTGTGTGTGTACACCTCTGATTTGATTATGCAGTGGATAAGGGGAATACTTCACAGTTGTAGTGGAAGTCAAATAACCTGTGGCACACTGCAGTCTCCATGCACATTTACAGAAGTTGTATTTCCTCCTGTGAAATGTAGTAATACCAGCAATAACAGCAGCCACAGCAGTAGCAGCAATGATACTTGAAACAGAACTTCAGGTCAAGAGTTTCACGCATCATTTAAAAAAAAAAATTAGATATGTACCATTTACTGCACTTAGTAAAAAATGCCAAAATGAAAATGAAAGCATAAGGTTTTGTTTAGAAAATATCCAATTAAATATTACTTTTTTCGGAGACTGTTTCAAGTTGAAAAATTCCTCAAATGTTCTCTTTTATTTTGGGAAAAAGATTGCCGTGTTTGATATCAAAAGGAAGACTCAAAACTTTAGTGACCAGCTTTTGTTTTCTAACTCTGCTCAAAACTGTTTTAGTCATATGCTGTTTTTCTATATAAATTAGTGTCCACAACTGGCTTAATGCAGACTTTCCAAGAACCAAAACTCTTTGGAACTGGTCTGATGTTCTCAAGCTGCCTCTCATGTACGGTTGCAACTAAGTTTGTCAAACAGTTCATGAGATTGAGAAATACTCTTTAGTCTCAGTTTGGATCTTCTTAAATTCTCTTTTCTTCACAGCCAACAAATCTGCCTTCCATACAGTCTGCTATTCTTTCTAATCAGTAGTATGAAAGTAACAGATGGAAGCGTACATAAAGTAGTCAGAGGCATAGATGATGTGTGAGGCATAATACCAGGCTAACTGCCATGGAAATAGAGTCTTGTCCCCACCAAGACTCCCATCTCCTCCTCCTTCCTTCACCCAACCCACATCCAACTATCCTCATCCTCCATGCAGAATTCATATGCTCATCTGCCTGCTCCTTCTGGCTCATGACAGATCCTACACTAGCTGCTTTCTCGTATGGATATCCCTAAAAAATATTTCCTCTAGCTTGAAGATTTTCCTAAAGAAGGCTACAGCATGCTGCCATCTACTCTCCCTGTGTCCCTTACTAACTTACGCCCCCTGCCCCAAATATATTTTAATCCAACAATTGTTTGTGGCAACATTTTCACATTCCCCAAAGCAGGTCTTTTTGCTTGCATACCGATAACTTGCATACAGTCCAGTGACTAGGGGAATCTAATGTGCAAATCAAATGTATAAACATCACATACACAGAATTTGGTTGTTCTGACAATACCTGAAATAAATCTCCATCATATATCTTAATTACTGTGAAGTATATTGTAACTAAAGTTAAATGAAGTAAAGAAAATAGATGATCTTCACAGAATCACCATGTTTGGAAAAGACCTTCAAGATCATCCAGTCCAACCAAAGGATCACAGATTTATCTTTCTCCAGATAAATTCACTATAGGCCACTCAATATATTCCTGAATATTGAAGTGCTTAGATTAATAAGCAAAATCATGGAAAAAAAAAAGAAATTAAAATATTATTCGTGATCTGTTTCGATCTTTGCTAATAAAAAGGCTGAAGATATGAGGTAGAAAATTCCCCACTGAGGGAGCAAACTCCCCTGCACTACACTGGTGGAGCAAGTCCAAGACTAATTCACAAGACTGAACATGTACAAGTTCATAGGGCCAGACAACATGCAACCCAGGGTCCTGAGAGAGCTGGCTGATGTGGTTGCTGTGATGCTCTCCATTATATTTGAAAAGCTGTAGCTGTCAGATGAAGTCCCTGGGAACTGGAAAAAGAGAAATATCACTCCCATTTACAAGAAAAGGAGGATGGAGGACCTGGGGAACTACAGGCTGGTGAGCCTCACCTCTGTGCCCTGGAAAATCACGAACAGATTCTCCTGGAAGATATGTTAAGGCACATCAGGGACAAGCAGGTGATCTGAGACAGCCAACATGGCTGCACTAAGGGAAGGTCATTCCAGATCAATCTGTAGGCCTTCTATGATGGAGTGACAGCACTGATGGACAAAGGGAAGGTGACCAGTGTCACCTACCTGGACTTCTGCAAGGCCTTTGACATGGTCTCCTGCCACAACCTTCTCTCTAAATTGGAGAGATACAGGTTTGAAGGTGGAAATTTGGTGGATAGGGAACTGGTTGGAAAGTCGCAGCCAGAAGGGGGTGGTCAATGGCTCTATGTCCAAGTGGAGGCCAGTAATGAGCAGTGTTCCCCAGGGTCCTGTGTGTGGTACTCTTTAACATATTTATCAGTGACATACACGATGGGATTGGGTGCACCCTCAGCAAGTTTACTGGTCACACCATGCTGAGTGGTGCAGTTGATACAGCAGAAGGAAGGGATGCCATTGAGAGGGGCTTTGAAAAACTCAAGAAGTTGGACCTTTGTGAAAATAGTGACGTTCAACAAAGCAAAGGGCAAGGTTTTGCACTTGGGTTGAAGTAATCCCAGATACGTATACAAACTGTGAGAAAAGCTCCTTGAGACTAGGCCTGCTGAGACGGACGTAGGGGTCCTGGCTGATGAAAAACAACCTGAGACAGCAGTGCCTGTACCCTGAAAAGCCAATGATATCCTGGGTTCCATCAGAAGACGAGTGGCTGGCAGGGCAAGGGAAGTGATTGTCCCCTTCTACTCTGCCCTTGTGAGGCCCCAGCTGGAGTACTGGGGCCCCCCAAATAGTTAAGATATGGAGCTTTTGGAGGAGGGCCACGAAGATATTCCAAGGACTGGAGCACCTCCCCTACAAGGACAGGCTGAACGATGTGACCTTGTTCAGCCTGGAAAAGAGAAGGCTGTGGGGAGACCTCATTGTGGCCTTGCAGTATTTGAAGGGAGTTTATAAACATGAGGGAAACCAGCTTTTTACAAAAGTAGACTGTGATAGGACAAGGGAGAACGGTTTTAAACTAAAGGAGGGGCAATTTAGATCAGATATCAGGAGGAAGATTTCTCTGAGAGAGTGGTGAGGCGCTGAAACAGGTTTCCCAGAAAGATTATGAATGCTCCATCCCTGGAGGTGTTTAAGGCCAGGTTGGATGGGGCCCTGGGCAATCTGATCCAGTACTAGATCTAGCGGTTGGCAACCCTGCAAATGGCAGGGGGTTGGAACTTGATGATCTCTGGAGTCCCTTCCAACTCAAGACATTCTATGATTCTGTGATATCTTATCTCAGTTTTGTAAAATCCATAGATTATGATCAAAGGAAGAGGCACAAACAGCTGTCTCCATAAAGAAGCAGAAAAAATGTTAAGCTAGAGATAGGATAAAATCTCATGCGTCAATGCTGCCAGCCTAGACATTCATTGCACTGAAGAATATTCTTAGAACAATAAACTATACCATACACTTTTATATCTACTTATTTAGTATGTAAAGGGCACTTTGTGCAACAAGATGTAAACCAGATAAAGACATTCAATACAAATAATTTTTATACAAGGAGCCAAGTGAATTAAGATAATTCACTCTGTGGTGCTACAGGGAGAGGAAAGTTATAAAAATCGAGGTAAATAGACAAGAATAAGATATACTACTGCATATCAAATGTCACATCTTACACAAAAAAAAAGGACTGCTCACAGCTCATTCCATGTTTCTGCAAAGAATATACATAAAATAATTGTACAGATCTTCTATATAGGCATCCTAGAACTACTTTTTAAAGTATAGTCATATTGAAATAATGCTCCAAAATTTATTCCACAGCATTTATGGAAAACAAGATGTATTATTACCTGGCACTGGCTTTGGAACATTTTTAGATCCTCACGGAGTTTCAGATTTTCCTCTTCTAGTCTATTCCTGCTTATTGTCATTTCACTCACTGCTGCCCTTAGCTTTTCAACAACTAACCCATCCTTTTCTCTTTCAGGTTGGCCATATTTAATAATCTCTTCCTGGTTTTGTTTCTTATTGCTTATCTGGAATTGATAACTCTGAGTTTGCTTCTATAAAACAATAAAATATTTTTAATGAAATTCAATAATTACATCTAAATTTTCAGGTCCAAACAGTTCTACTGAAATGATTAAGCTAATTTCCATTTTCTTCATCAGCACTTGCTTAGAAAAGATAGCACCTTTGGAAAGATTTGTATCACTATTCTAAAAGATATTTCCTTTCTTTAGCCTCAAGTTCATCATGTTCAGTGAGAATAACATTTCTAAAACTTAAAAGGATACAGAATTTTTTCAAGAATTTTTCTCTGTTGTGTATTTTCCTAGCACTTTGATATTAATTAGCCTCACAAGTGAAAAGGTGATTATGATGACCTACTCAAAGCAGTCACCTATAAAAAGTGATTTGAGAGAAATGTTTCTCTTTGATATAATGAACTCAGTAGGAGATGTGCGTGTATGCCTCAGGATGGCATTAACCTTTGTCTAAAAGGTGAGTAGTATGAAATTTGTAGTTCAGTTACTGAAGTAACTATATATATATATATATATTTATCATTATTGTTAGTCTTGTGGAAAAATCATTTGCACATTCAGCATCTCTGGAAACAGTCTTGAAGCAGTTTTGTAGTCCATTCAGTTTCTTCAATTTCTTGTACTCATTAAATAATTCTAAAAAGAAAACTTCAGAAAATAGGTACTGGTGGTATTTCTGAATTCAGTGTGAAGAACCACAATCACTATGGTAACTGTTTAAAAAATTACCCATACAGATCCTTCCATTTGGACACAGCAACACTAATCTTTCAGAAGACTGAAATTCAGAATTAGTTGAAAAATGACACAAAAAAATAACCTGCAAACCATATATCATGTGAAGAGATCAAGTTGAGCAAGAAAATTTAAATAAAAAAAAAGTAGTGCTGCATATATTACATTTCCTTGATAATGACTGCAAAAAGGAATTCTTTCTTTGGACTCCTTTTGATTTCATTGATTGTGTTCTCTTAACTTGTGATGGCTGAAATGGACCACAGGCTGCATATTAAATAAGAAGACTATATAAGTTGGCAGGTAAATCTAATGTATGTGGCTAACAGATTAAGGTCCCCAACATCTAAGTTATGGAGTTTGACATGCAAAGATGTCAAAGCATTCTGTGAAATAAAAGTTTTGATTCTGGAAATCAAAAACCTTACAGAGGAGAATTTGGACCAAAGATGCAGAATCTATTAATGCTTTAGAAACAATCTATCAAACTTATCATTAATAAACTAGCCTGATGTTACTAGTATGATGTTACAGTTGTGATGAAAGCTGCCTTCAAAGAAAGTTCGCTGACGATAGCCATTTGAACTTTGACAGAAAAATGTGGACGATCATCTTGAGTACTCTATTTTGACTTGTCTAATTGTGCAATCAACTCAACATGCACCTGCCAGTGGATTCGTCGAGTCAAAGACATATTTTTTTCAGCCATTTGTATGAAAGTTCAGTAACAGCAAAAGAATGCTTTCCACATCTGTAAATGAAATGTAACTGTCATACTTGAAAATAGTGGATATGGGTAAAGAGTCTCCTAAGAATCATTAAGAACATGTTTCACTAGATTAAGATTCAATGAGCTTAGCCCCACTGGAAAAGGAGATCACCAGTTAGCAATGTAATTGGCTTCCCCATGCTTCATTTTGAACTGTTTTGTAGCCCAAATAATATTTAAGTTATTTCTTTAATTTTTTTTAGACTACAGTAGGTCATCAAGAAATCATTATAATGTATTCTTTGTTCTAGAATGGAAATATTTAAAACAATAAAAAATATGCTATACAAGTGGGCTATATAATAAATATAATAAAGAATTACATGAACTGGCTGGTAAAAAATGGATCACAAAACCAAGAATGGACTGAATAGTAACTGAAAGATGGAAACTATGATCAAAAACGTATAAGTAATCCAGCAAACATATCTAAGTAAGCTTTTGGAGCAGCATAGAGGGATTCATTTTTTTGTATAAATTAAGTTAATGTTCATTTATGATCCTCAGATAGTGAGGAGATGCCTTAGATTTGAGGGAGCTTCATATTTTGACCAAATAGGAATGAGATGTACTATCTACAGTGGAAGTTAAATTTCAATAACTTGTCATCACAATTATTGTACAAGGACTGCTCTGCAAATAACACCTCCCACTTTTATTCTGTTGACCCACAGTGTCAGAGTTGAATATTGGTGGCATGGCAGTAGAGGTTGAAATTTCCTGCCAATATTCTGTTACATTTTGTTGCCATGTGACAGATGGGCAGCACAATGGCAATCAGACAAAATGGAGTCTGACATGGAAGTGTGGAAGAAGCAAAGGTGTGAAATTTAATTTCTCAGTGTGGAAAAAATTCCACATTGACATTCGTGAATGCTTACTGAATGTTTATGGAGACCAGTGGATGTGAGCACAGTGAAGCAGTGGGTGGTACGTCACTGCAGTGGTGACAGTGACAGCAGCTCATCTCTGCTGGTGCAGAGATTCACAAGTCTGGCATGCAGGCTCATCTTTGTGGCTGGCAAAAATGCAGAGCTAATGGTGGTGAATATGTTGAAAAATAGTGTTCTGCAGCTGAGAATTTGCTCTATCAAAAAGTGTTGTTGTTCTCTTTGTATCTGTTGCAACTTCCACGGAAATGAATAAGACATTACTTTCAGAGCAACCTATATATGTTAGTAAATAGCATAGACATTAAATTTAAGTCCACGGTATACCTGAAAAATTAAAAAGGAACATGCATTGCTTTTTACAGTTATCTTTAGAGGAAAAATAGTAGTTTTCATTATGAGATTTATTTATATTATATAAGAAAAAAAATTAAAATAACTGCATGTATCAGTATCTTTCAGTATGGATCTTTCTTACTTAAAATAATGTGTCCGTATTATTTTTATGTTTGCTATAAGCTTAGGAGTGTTTAGATTTTAAAACATAAGTTAAAATAACTCAAACTGAGCAAACAGCTCATTTAATTCTCAACTTCCTTCTGAAGAAGGAAGGTAGAAATTTTACCTGAAACAAATTACATTTCTCAGACAATAATCTTTGCTGAGCATCTAAATAAATGAGATGATTTTGGCAGATTGTCCCTTTCTTATCCCATTCTCTTGATTTTGCTTTAAATTCCTGAAAGACAGCAAAACAAAGTTACTAAGGAGAGAGAAAAATACTCTTGTTCCTTAATCTAAATAATTTATTAATTTTCTCGTTCTAAGAAAAGCATAGTTCTGAAGCTGATATGTAATCTTTCCACAATTTTGGAAAGAAGAAAAAAACCCCAATGATATAAAACAGCCATCCAGCCACAAGACAGCCTCTTTAGAAAAAAATCATCTTAGAGGCTAGTAACCTGAAAAATGTGGATGGTGAAATAAGCATAGAATCATAGAATCACAGAATTGCTCAGGTTGGAAAAGACCTTAAAGACCATCAAGTCCAACCACAACCCAGCCATCCTACCCTAACTAACAACCCTCCACTAAATCATGTCCCTGAGCATCACATCCAAACGGTTTTTAAACACATCCAGGGATGGTGACTCAACCACCTCCCTGGGGAGTCTATTCCAGTGCTTAACATCTCTTTCTGTAAAGAAGTTTTTCCTGATATCCAACCTAAACTTACACAACTTGAGGCCATTTCCCCTCATCCTGTCACCTGTCACCAATGAGAAGAGACCAACCCCATTCTTGTTACCATCACCTTTGAGGTATTTGAAGAGAGCAATAAGGTCTCCACTCAGCCTCCTTTTCCCCAGACTTAACAGCCCCAGTTCCTTCAGTCTCTCCTCATACGGCATATTCTTCAAGCCCTTCACCAGCCTTCCTGCCCTTCTTTGGACCTGCTCCAGCACCTCAATGTCTTTTCTGTACTGAGGTGCCCAAAACTGAACGCAGTACTCCAGGTGAAGCCTCACCAGTGCCAAGTACAGGGGCAGGATGACTTTCCTAGTCCTGCTCACTACACCATTCCTGATACAATCCAGGATGCCATTGGCCTTCTTGGCCACTTGGGCACACTGTTGGCTCCTACTCAGCCAACTGTCCATCAGTACACCAAGGTCTCGATCACTGATTAGAAATGATAAAGTATTTAAAATCACTTCAATTGCTGTAAATCTTAGAGTTATAACTATAAAACACCAATTATATTGGAAGGTAAGCAGCTCCTGTGACTTTAAAGAAAAGTAAGAGTAATCAGCATGGGATCAAACCCTTACTAATCAGACAAATATTTTGAATGCTTTTTTGGTTGTTCCTTTTCTTGAACAAAGGAACAGCAGCTACAGTGAATAAATTTTACTTCTTGTAAAATTGTTCAATTGCTGCTTCTGGAATTTTTTCCTAACTTCACCTACTTTCAACAAAAACTTTTTAACAAATGTTATTACAATCAGGTTTTGCTAATAATAGTTTTGTGTCTGTGTTTAGATTTATATATAAATAGAATTGTTTTGTATTTATATACATATGACTGTATTGATATATATTTGTATTTATATTCCTATTTACACTGTTTGACTTTTTTCTTAGATCTTGTATTCTTGTCACAACTGACTTTAAAGGCAATATTCCACAAATAAGTGGGAGAGCTCTACAGCTAATGAAGTTCTAGCTCTTTTTGTTTGGATGAACAATTAGGAAAATTATAGTATATATTGCCCTGCATGTTGCAAAGGGGTTGGAGATTCATGATCCTTGAGGTCCTTTCTAACCCTGGCCATTCTGTGATTCTGTGATATTGGTTTATATAGTGAAAAGCAAAATGCTCTTTTAAGCCTTTATAAGATCTGCCTTTTTCACAATGGAAACGTTGGTCCCAAAAAGGGAGAAGATTTTTATAATTATCTTAAACTGACATATTCCTGTAATACACACACAGCTACTGAAATGAAATCAAATGCTTTTCAACATAGATTAATACAAGTTTTAGCTTTCATAATGTGTGCTTTGGTATTTTAAATGAACAAAAATCTTCAGTTTCAAAAAATGTCATACAGATGCAGTTTCAGTCTGCTAAATGAGGACTGCAGGTTTAAGGCCTTACTAAAGGACTGCTGAGTTTAGTAGATTTTCAACACTGATTATTTCCTAAATACTAGAATTTCCTGTATATATTTCAAGCAATCATTTTTCATACTGCTTAATTAATCAAACGATAGAATTGTCTTACATTATTTTCTCATTTTAATCTTGAATGAGGTCATTCTCAAATTAGCTAGATCAGACAGTTTCAGACTAGTGATATATTTAGTCAGTTATCAACATATAACCCATTTATTGCTCTTGCAGTGGCAGATGCTGGTAGCTATGCTGAAATCCAAAGCTTAGCAAGTTTTCTGATGATAAGGACTCTTCCATGTGGAAAAGACATCATGTACGTGTTATGTAAAGTGACCTGAAGGTGGCAGAAGTTGCTGCTACGTGTTACATCATAACAGGAAGAATAGGCAAGATCAAAACATAGATCCCGAAGTACTTTTTAATTGTAATTTAAGTATGAAAATATTTAAAATTTGTCAGCTCTTAAGATTTCATTTGTGGAGTTCTCCAAGTGTTTAAATGGTCTACCATCATAAATCTATATAAATCTAAATCACGAGCATCTAAGTCCTCACAATGCTTAAAAGCTACGCAACTAGCTCACACTTAGTTTCCACTGGTATTCTTTTGCTTACTTTCCCTGCAGAATCCAGGTCAGTGAATGCTTGAAGCACACATTAATTTTTTTTATGATCTCTGCAAAGGATGGCTGGAGAAAATATTGATTTTTTTTTTTTTTTTTTTCCTGATCCTTCTATGCTACATCAGACTAGAGGATAGACTGTTCTCCCAGTATAGGAAACATTCAGTTTAATAATCTTCTCTCCAAACAGAATCTGAACCAGAATCTCTTCGTGTTAATTTTCTACATAATAAACTACACACTGTTTTTCAACAGTTTCTGGAATTTCTCTTCTGGAAGTTGTTCCATTTTGCAAAGAAATATACTGGCTAAGTAAGAAAGCAGAAGGAAAAATTAATAGAGCTAGAGATTACATTGCTCAGTCCTATGTTTCTGTGCCAGTGAATGTACCCATAAGAGTATTTGAGGAGAAGTTGCCATGTAGAATCACACTCTATAGATGCCAATTTTCTGTGCTGGGTAACTCTCCCATTGGCTCAGTAAATAGTTAACTATTCAGCAGATAATGCTGGAACTTCAAACTCTTGAGAAGTCAAGGCTGGGAATTCTGATTATAGATCAGCATCTTACTGTATCCAAGAATAAGTCAGCTAAAATACTTTCTGTGTCTGGTTGAATAGAGAATATGACTGAATCCTACCCTCAACATCACAGATTATCTAGATTCCCACTCAATATGTTGGGTTCTGCAGACTGTATTTTTAAGTACCTTATCCTTGCTAATGTGTGACCTAGGGAAACTAAGTACTGAAGTCAAAACTGTGGATGGCCTCAGACGTGGAAGTGCTAACAGGATAAGTGTATAACAAACAGTTTTTCAGTCTTAAATCCTTATTCTATCTAGCCCTACACAATAGAAGTTGTTCTGAAGTCTATAAGACTTATGTTAATGGTAGATATCATGTGAAAAAATCCTGCACATGCAAAAACTCTCATGCCTGAACATATGATACTCTCCAGTACACTTACAGGAAGTAAAATTTATTTATCAATACGTTTATGAAGCAAATTATGTATGCTAACTCATAAAACTATCAACAACACTAATAAAACTTCAGTGAAAGAACAAAACTTGAATATCAAACTCTGCACCTTTTCCTATGTGTCTTCTGTAGAAGAATCAGATACTTAGAGTTTACAGCTGTAACCAAGAAATTAATTCTAGAAGCATACTGAAAATAGAAGGTGGTAACAAAATATTCTTACCTCCAGTTTCTTGTTTAAATTGTTCAGTTGAAATGATGTCTCTGGGCTTTCTTTACTTATTTCTCTACTTTGACGATTTTTTTGTTTTAATAGCTTGTCATAACTATGTGTCAGCTTCAAAAACTGAAAATAAAAGCAGAGGGGAACATACAGAATCTGTCAAGGATGACTGTGTGACCAAAGTTCTCATTAAACTAGAATTGCCTACTGCAAGTTCAACATTCTAGTACTTAATCAATACAATAAAGAAGCATTTAATAAAATGAATTTCGTGGAGATGAACTAAACTCTCTCTTAAATGTAAACTAACATTTCAAGTAGGTTCATTTGACAACTACTTAATTATGCTGAAGATTTTTATGGCACCATTACCCATAGTGTCATTTCCTCTGGTGCTTATGTGAAATTTTTACACTTGTTTACTGCCATCTTGTGTTAACAATTTTAAAGGGTGCTTCATCAACCAAAATGAAGGATTATCATTAAAATGCTTGCACGTTTCTTTTCTATAATGGAAAATGTTGAAATGTTATGCATGGGGTAATTGCTTTCTTCTGGAATTGTGGAGTTCCAAATAGTATCTTTGAGAATTAGACCCCAAATACTGTTCTGCCTTTTGATCTTACTATGAAAGCATGGCTTAGGTGTCAGAGGCAAAGTCAGGAAGGTATCAGCAGAAATACAAGATTCTTCAGAAGTGTGGCCACTGAACAGTCTGCTACTCTACATGAGCCTGAGGAGGACTCTGCTACTCAGAGTTAGATAGGGCTGCCCTCAAATGCTTATATATTTCATCTCTCCCAAATTCTAATCATACACTGAGAGGAATCGTATTCCAGGAGTGTTCAATTCCTTCCATCCTAAAGGATTCCTTCCATTCCTAAAGGGAGCATGATGCAGCTCAGACTTGGACATTAAATTCTAAAGGCACTTAGTTGCTAAAGTGCTTAGAACAAGAATGGATTCTCCTTCTTGTGCCAAAGGTTTTCTGTCATTGTCAAAATGAGAGTACCTAAGTATCACATAGAAAAAAACAAAACAAAACAAAACAAAAACAGAAAGTAATTAAGATGAATCCCTGAAGTTTCTCGTATTTAATTATAACAAAATGCTATACATTTGAATGAGTGCAAAAGTGTGGATTAAGAGTTTCAGATTACCTATCAGGAACTATTAACTATTTCTCTAACACAAAATCATACTTTACTGCAGTCAACTGCAACATAAACCTTCTGTGGGAAGGTTGCTCATTAAACAGTGGCTCATATTAGTATCAAGGGTAAAAAGCACTGAGGACTACAAAAGAATTGTTATCACAGAGAAATTTGTTCTGAATAGTCTAAACACTGCTAGGGAGAGCTAGAAGAAGCAACCCCTTCTATTTCTGTCAAGATTAGGAAGGAACAAAAATTGCGAGGGATTTTAAGACAACATCTGCACAGAAAGATACAATGATGTAAATATTAACAAACTATTTGTGCAAGATTAAATTGCAGCTCTTAAGAATGTACATTGTTAAAGGAGGTATAATGTTCAAGTGGAGATAAGAACCAAAAGAAGGGAGAGAAAGGATCACAGAATCACAGAATCACCAAGGTTGGAAAAGACCTACAAAATCATCCAGTCCAACCATCCACCTATCACCAATAGTTCTCAATAAACCCTCAACAGAAAATCCAGACGTTCCTTGAACACCTCCAGGGTCGGTGACTACACCACCTCCCTGGGCAGCCCATTCCAGTGCCTGACCACTCTTTCAGAAAAGAAGAATCTCCTAACGTCCAGCCTAAATCTCCCCTGGTGCAGCTTGAAGCCATTTCCTCTGGTCCTATCACTAATGACACGAGAGAAGAGACCGACCCTCAGCTCACCACAACCTCTCTTCAGGTAGTTATAGAGAGCAATAAGGTCCCCCTGAGCCTCCTCTTCTCCACACTGAACAATCCCAGCTCCTTCAGCCGCTCCTCATCAGGCCTGTGCTCCAGACCCCTCACCAGCTTTGTTGTCCTTCTTTGAATCCGCTCCAGGGACTCAATGTCTTTCTTGCAGTGAGGGGCCCAAAATCCATAAAGGTGTATCTATACCATAGGACATGTATGAGTTTTTTATAATGCAATCAGAAAATAATGAAACTGATATTTTTCTTACTTGAGATTTAAGTGCACAAAGCTGAGTTTCGTAATTCTGAGCCATTTCACAGTTCGTTTTCTGTAAGTTTTCCAGTTGCTGACAAAGTAGTTCCACCTACGGTTAGAAACACACCACAAAGCCAGATTGCAGCAATCAAACTTCGTAGTATATTATGAATTAATGATAAAACCATGTGAATCTGTCATGAAAGATCCTTTAACGAAGCATTTCTGACCCAGCTATATAAATGAACTGCTGTGTCCCAGCATAAGAATTTTGCTTGAATTGTTTACGTCTTGAATTATCTGATATTTTCACAGAGACATGGGAAATATGACAAACAGCATACATGACACCTAGGTTTTTTTGGAGAGGCAGCCTGGAAGCTAGTTGCAATATGCTAAAATATTTCAGATAACATCTGTGTATGGGCAAATAGATTGATGCTTTAAAGATTGGCTAGCTGAATTATGCTCTTGGCTTCTTTGACTGCAGTGACAAAGGGCAAGTTCCTACAGTTGTCTGTTAGGGAGAGATAGATCCATTTCAAGACTCCCACTGGCCCCTAGCTCACATGGGGACACCCACATGTAAACACCTAACACCTAACTTCAGATGTCATGCAATAGATTTGAACGTCATGCTAGGATTCGCCGATACTTCTGAAACAATATTCAGCACACACGACTTGAAGTGCAGGTGATGTCAGACCCACTGGTGCCTTCAGTTTGAAATTAACATTCAAAACCAGTACAGCATGTGAAATTATAAAAATGGTGTATAAATACGAATTACAGTGACATAATTTTGTCAAACTTTTGGAACTGCATTTTTCCATTTAAAATTTCTGATTAAAGTAGAAGTATTGTCATCTAGGAAAAAAAATCAAATTATCTTTTCAAAGCTTATCTGAGAATATTTGATTTAATTTAAACTTAAAGGAAATAAAAGAAATATGGGACTTTGAATGACATCTTTACAATCACTTTTCAGAACAGAAGCCCAATTTAAATCAAAATAGTAAGGATAATTTGTGACCTCCAAAGAGTTCGATATTTTTGCATGATAGATCAAACAAGCCTACAAACAGAGCATTGTGATCACAGCATTCACTTCTTCACAGGATATAAACTTTTTTACAGATCTGATATTTTCAAATACCTCTTGACCTTTTTGATCCAGTTTGCTTTGGGCACTTGCTAATTCTTGATGCTGAATATCCATCTGTGCTTCAAAAGCTTTCATCTTCCTTTCCCATTCTACTTTCTTGCTGTTTACTATGATGTCAACTTGATGCACTAAATCCTGAAGTTCAGCTTCACATGAAGAGGCTCTGTAACAATAATAATGAGAAAAAACATTTTTTTTTAAATACAGGGCGAGAGAGAAACAAATTTGTAGTTAAATTGCTAAGACTTCATTTTACTTCTGATGGAAGTAGCCATTTTTCAACATCAGAAAGGAAAGAAATAGAGAAGTTAAGTGACACTTTCAAAAATTAAATCATAAGTTTGCCTGAAGTCCAAACCAGAATATTCAGCACATTCCTGGCTTTTTGCCTAGCATAAATAGTGCTTGGTATACTCTCACTCTTTCAGAGACAAGCTGTTGTATGAGCATAAGTTAAGTAGAAAGTATCCAGGCTGAAAGCTCTAAGGACAAGAGCAGGAGAACATCAAGTTGCTTATGGGCGCAGGACTTCCTACTAAGTGTTGAGCAATGATGGAAATAGAGTTTACTGGAGGAAGCTACTAAACAGCTAGCTTGAAAGCTAGTCACTCTCCTTGATTGCTGGTTCAGCATTAACACTCTATTTTCCTAATCTTGTTGTGGAAAATGAACTTAAATAAAAAGACTTCTATAACACTATTCATATTTAATACTACCAGGAAGCATAAAAATGAGGGCGTTTTGAAAATGACCTTGTCCTGGGGAGACCATAAACACTGGAATTTTTCCAAACTTAAGAGGTTAAATTTTGATTACGTCCTCTGCAGTACAACTTCATTGTCAGTGATGGAACATTTTTTGCATTGCTGCTTTAGGAATATGATGTATCATAATCCTTATGATGTATCATAAGGAACAAAATGATGGAATATGGTTAATATATGAGATATCAGCAACTTAAAGCAGTCAAAGCTCTTAGTTACCCTCTTGTACTTATATGGGAGCAATAAATCAGATGGCATATACCATTTAGCAGACACATAAAAAGCACCTGAACTTTAACATGGAGATTTCTTTATTCCGTGTAAATTCAAACTTTGTATTTGATAATGAATATTAGTAAAAAATGAAATAAGAAATATATTATAACATATCTGGTTAGGGATACTTTCTTTGCAAGAAGTTGCACAATTTTTTCAGTATTCTAAAAATTTCCATTTGTAGAAATGCCTATTTTACATCTACATTATACAGTTCTTCTGGGTATATGAGATTTTTTCCATAAGTGTTTTGGGGACTTTATTGCCCAATAAACTCAATCGTTTTATGAACTGTGGGTTTTTCTCCATCTGTGAATTTGCAGCTGGCATTTCAGAATGGCAGCTTCCTTATAAGTTGGGATCTTTCTAAAACTTGTGGATCTATTCAAATTTCGATGAAATATTCCAGTTAGGAAAAAGAATATGACAATATAATTAAATAAAACTCTTTATTGAAACACTTCTAACAATTTTATTTTTCTGACTTACTGCTTTGTATCCATTCAAGATAAGATTCTAGTGTTTCGTGAAAAGAAAGAGGAGAGAATGTACACTCTTGCCTAATTCCTCTCCATAAAATAAAGAAGGGGAATTTTATTCCATTAACACTTAGAGCTATTTTTGGACTGCTACAAAGACTGAGCTAAAGTGGCATTTATCTCACTGAAGTGAAAGAAAATCTTTCACTGATTGTTTTTAACCAGTGAGCAATGCATTGCGTTTTTAGCCTTTCGAGGCACAGCATCTCATTCATTTCCTTTTTGGTAAATCTCTACTTTCCACACATTTTATTAATGGCATTTGTTATCTCCACATCCCTTTCTCATATTAGTTAGCAACTTTTTTTTTTTTTTAAAACTTCTTTTTGTATCTTTCTTTTTTCCTACTATGGTTTTAATTAAAGTTTTCTATATGCTTGTTCGTTTTAAATAGATAACATTTATAAATTGCCCCCTTATACAGCTTATGATTTTCTTTAGATCTACCTTTATCTCATCTTCGGCACATATTGGGAAGTGTTGAAATGTGTCATCAGTAGCCACTGCTATCTTACCTTGCCCACGAAAAAACCTCATTTAAAATCCTCAGATTACTCCTTTTAGTGCTATTATTTCACCATTACAAAAATCATTATGAAAATGTCTACATTTTCCCTTTGCAACAATTTAGAGATTAGTGTGTTCAATTACTGCCATATCTACAAGAAAGTACAAATAAATCACATGGTGGTTTTTTTCTGCAGAGTCATCTGTCTCCCTCTTAACCCAATAGATTGTACTGTTAGTAAACACCTGTTTGCTCTTCACTTTTTTCTGTTGCAGTGCCTATTCATTGTACAATTGAAGTTTAATCTAAATTTAATTTCAATTTCCTCATACTGCTGGATAATTTTCAAGCCTCTTCTTTTAGTTTATAAAACAAGCAATTATATTCGTTCATAAATTTGATCATCTAAAATGATGAAAAATGTATTGTACTCTATTACTTTTCACTGTAATATATTTGGCAGTCTGATGAGCATCTCCTCTCTTAAAAAAAATCTAAGAGTGATGTCACTGTTTTGAGTTTTGCTGTATTCTGTTTTCCTCTTAAAAATATTATCCCAACTCGTCTTTCTAAAAATAAGTAAAAGAGCAATAACTGGTGACTAATTCATACACGTTTAAAAGTTACCAACTCTCTTGACTGCATATGGTACATACAGTTGTGTGGCAAATGCCTTTGTAATTGCCTGTCAGGTTTGCAGTCATTCTAAGACCTCTGTGGCATGATAGTCTGAAAAAGTGAGCATGGCTACTTCCTTTATGAATTCTTTACCATTTCCTAGCTCTCTTTCCTCTCCTTCCAAGTGTACCCATCAGTCAGTAATTTATGAAATAATGGCCATAGATATGGTCACAGAGACAAAAGCCAGTGCAGCATCTGCATAATGTAGCACAACATGCAGAAGGGTTAATGACAAAGCACACAGCAGCAGGCATGTAACCACTCTGTCCTCAGGGGTGTTGGTGAGGATTTCAATATCCAAAATTTGCACAGGATACCATTTCCTGTCATGTACATGCAATCTGGCAGATTTTTTTGGAGTGGACATTGCAACTAAGAACATGCCAAGTAATTAGGAACTCTGTTTTAGCAGAACCCAACTATTCAAACACAAACTGAACCATGGACTCAGAGGGAATATTGTCTTTGTTTCAGCTGGGACAGAGTTGGTTTGTTTCATAGTGTCTGCTATGGTGCTATGTTATGGTTGTAGGAGAAAAATAATGTTTGATAACACAACATTTCTAGTTGTTGCTAAGCAGTGTTGTAAAGAACCAAGACCATTCTAGGTTCTCCTCTCCTACGAATGGCTGGGGGTGGGTACAGGAAGCTGGGAGGGGACAGAAACAGGACAGCTGAGTTAAACTGGCCAAAGGGACATTCCATACCATATGACAGCATGTGGAAGGAGTTCTGAAAGAAGAGGGAGTTCATCACGCTCTCTTCCATTGCTGAGGGTGCTGGCTGAGCATTGGTTGGTGGCTGGTGAGCAATTGCTTGTGCATCACTTGCTATATACACACATAAAAATTTCTATATATTTGTCCTATTATCCTTTGCCTTTTCTCTATCTTACTAAATAATTTTATCTCAACCCATGAGTTTACTTTGTTTTTTTTCCCCAGTTCTCTGGGGGAGTGAGTGAATGACTGTGTGGTGTTTAGGCATCTGCCAGGTTAAACCTGACATTCCTAATGCCTGTGAGCCTTCAGCTGCTGAGTTTGCAGCCAGTGCACCACTGAAGAGCAGCACGGGTACTCACATGTGCCTCTGCTCTAAATGACTATGGAAAACAAGCACACATTTTACTCCTTGTAGTTGATGTCAATACCTAGAGGAAACATTAGAATTTCTTTCAAGTTAACAACCTGTTTGAAATAACAAATGCAGTGGATGAAAATGTCCCTGCTGTAAATGTTTCTGGTAATCTTTCACTTCCTCATTGTTCTGCCAGCTTCCTGACTGTCAGCCCTCCTGATGCCTGTGCAGACACACCAAAATCTGTCTGTAGGTTCTGCTCAGAGTCAAGCACTGGCCTCACACATTCTGTGCCCCATAACTTGCATGCTCAACTTCTGAGTGTAGTGCACTAAGAAGAAGAGTTCCTTAACATGGAAATATGTTTATCGAGGGTTTTTGGTGCTTAAAGGTGCACATGTAATAATCATGACAATTATTAGAGAAATTCAAATCTTGGAAACCTTACCAATATCAATATTAAGCTAGGAAAGACTTTATAAATACTTTAAAAAATCTTAATGCTTTTTAACTTTAGCAATCTTATTATAAAATTTAATATCATTCATAGAATGACAGGAACAAAAAAGCAAGCAAGTAGTACAGCATGATGTACAAATCAGAAGACAAAAATACTTCCCTCCCACCCCAGAACACCTGAAACCCATCTCAAATTAGCAACTGTGATTCAGCAAACTGATTCCCTCTGGAGGTAACTGGTGGAGATATGAATCTGGATTTTAAAAACAGAGGTGGAAGCAGTTACTACATCAGGATTATCTTTTATTTGATACTACTGGATAAGGCCTTTGCCTTTCCAGCCTCATGTGTTACAGTCCTGAGGAGAAGGATTTGGGGTGTCGTTTGATGAAAGGCTCAACTTGAGCCAGCAATGTATGTTTGCAGCCCAGAAAGCCAATTGTATCCTGGGTTGCACTGAGAGAAGGTCAAGGGAGATGATTCTGCCCCTCTGCTCTGCTTTAGGAAATGGCTTTAAACTGGAAAAGGGTAGTTTTAGATTAGATATTAGGAAGAAATTTTTTACTGTGAGGATGGTGAGACATTGGAACAGGTTGCCCAGAGAATGTTGTGGATGTGCCCTCCCTGGAGACATTCAAGGCCAGGCTGGATGGGGCTGTGAGCAGCCTGGTCTAGAGGGAGGTGTCCCTGCCTATAGCAGGGGTTGGAACTGGATGATCGTAAAAGTCCTTTCCAACCCAAATCACTCTATGATTCTATGATTGCCAGGTGGCAACATGTCAGGGAACAATGAGCAGGGACATCTGCTATCGGATTTTAGCCTTCATAAATTGGGACTTTCTCTACTGTGCATCATATAAATTATCTAAACATTGCTGTGCAACTGCAAATGTGATCTCTAGCCTGGACCACCAGATTACCATTCCAGATCCACCATGGCTGACATCTTTTCCTCTTGGGTTGCTTCAACTATTCTTTTGAGATCAACTCCCACAAGACAAGTTCTGCAGCTGTTGCTAGAAAATTTTCTTGCAGCAATTATTGCAAGTCTGATGAACCTAGAACTGCCAGTATAGAAAATTGATATATTGAAGGAAAAAATTCCCATCTGTAACAGCTTCTCTGTCTCACAATTTTCTCCTTTTCATCTTTGTCTGCTTCCTTACCTAGATCCTTTAGTTACATCCGCAGCTAAAAAAGGAAAGCTGTACCTGAAGCTGTAGATTACTGCTTCTGTTCTACTTCCAGAGCTGCTCCGTATCACTGCTGTAGCTTTATGCACATCACTGCATAAAGATGCACTTAGCAGTTATCCCCACCTACTAGCACAGAAGGACTAAGAGCTGCTGTGCCTATTATTTTAATCCCTTTGGTGTTTTGAAAGCAGTGGTTGTTATACTCCCTCAAAATATGACCAATCATATGGTATGAGAATTATGCAAATTTTAATTTCATCACTGGAGGTGGAACGTGGAAAACTCTGGCATGCTTTGTTTAATATAGTATCAGGTAAAAACACAGGGAAAAAGTTTTCCCATGAAGGGAAGAAGTATGGGAATTTTACTCATAAGCATTCAGCACTCCTACACTGCTGACTGCATACACCAAATGCATTCCTCCCACATGGAACCAATGACTTGTATTTAAGCAAGTGGGAACTACTCTGTTGCATTTACTATGAAATGGCTCAAAACACTGCAAAGTAACTTATTTTTAAAGAGATGTAGGCAAGCTCTTAGTCCTTTTACTCTATTTCCATAATAGTGAAAATAGAGATGATTCATATTCTGCTGTCATTAATGACTATTTATCTGCATGTCAAATGTATATATTTCCAAATTTAGAAAAAACAAATCCTGTACAATAATTTTTACCAACTTAAGGCCTTTATAACAAAGGATTTCTGTACTTGTTAAAACTTTCTAAGCTCTCTCAACATTTTGCTTTGGAGTTCTGCACGAACTTGTGTTTTTCTGATGGTTTCTTAATAGGCAAAGAAAGATTATTATTGTCCATCCACTTGAGAGTAAGGTTGTAACCTAGAAACTGAAATCTCAAGAAATGTTCAGTTCACTCTGTCCATGTCCCTTAATTACTTGGGTTTGCTGACAAATAGAAAAGTGGGTATAACTGCATTTACCCCAAAGTACAAAGCCTATGTAGAACAATGTAAACACAGATTTCCCTATCGAGCAGTACATTCATTAGATCTTGATCCTTAACCCAGCTTCTAGAGCCAGCATTAACTCCATTTCTCTTTTTAAGAGCTGCTTTAGAAATGCAAAAGATATAAGCTGTCTGTTACAGCACTCCATCAATACCTTTTATCCTGTGCATGAAATACAACTGATTTATTTAACAAGTTTTAGCCATACACTGTCACGTATGTATGGATGGATAATTTGTGATTTATGAGTTCTTGCAGATGGGATATAATTGCCATGATTTCTACCCCCTAATTTAACCCTTTTTCCAAATTTTAAAGTTACCTGCATTATTTCTGCAATACTATCAGCACAGATTGAAACGCTGGTCTCTCATTGGATGTGTAGCCTAGACTAAACTTCCAGATTCTTGGTACTGTCAATGGAAATAAATAGCTATCTAGAACATCTGTTTTATGATGGAATAAATCACTCTCTAGATCTATCTACAGTGGCTTGAAATTTCATGTATGCTAATTACAACTGTGAATCTGCACACACCAGAGGGGTTGAAACTAGATGACCATTGTGGTCCTTTTCAACTCAGGCTATTCTGTGATTCTGATTCCATTCTATGATCTGGATTCAGAAATTGGGCTTTTGATTTGTTAAAGAAGTAGCCAAAGAATAACAATATTTTTTTTTTAATTCAAGTTTTTATGAGACCATATTTACTAATCACCAACTAACAAAAAGAATGGCTCTCAAAGCTAAAAAGGAGTCACGTTGTTCAGAATATATTTTGATGCAGCATGCTATTTTTTTCCATTATGAAAACTGCATGAATCATTCTTCAGTACAACCGAGCATACTTTCAAATCATATTCAAGCTTTCTTCAGCCAGAATAAGGTGTGGGTGAATGTATGTGTTTCTATTACTTTAAGAAGTACTTTTACACTTACTATGTGCCATATTAGCTAGATCGTTTCTTGATAATAACGATATGAAGAACCATTTGATATGACATATGGAGAAGTGTTCTTTATCTTGCTCTGTTCCTTGAGCAGGCTGGGTGATATGAGACCTTACATCAAATCTCACTCATGGTTTGTGCTGTACTGTATTTTTTTTCAGATTAAAACAACTCGATTTGGATGATGTGGAAAAAAGATGAGTGTGTTGGGAAGAGAAGTGCGTTAATACTTGGCAGAACAATTTTGGTTACTGTATGTGAAAAATAAAACTACATCTTGAACAACCAATAACCCTGTTTCTAATAGTTTTGAATGTTTTAAGTGCTGTGATATTTAAGTTTATAGTGCTGTAGCCTAGCAACTTCAAGAATTTTTGAAAACCATTCAAAATGAAATTTCTTAACAACTTAATAAAACCCAGTTTTTACTGTTTTCTTTTGTTTAGGTATGCAGATTTTAAAGATTTAACTAAATAAAAGTAGAAAATTAAAGCTCTAAACTTTGTTGTCTTAGTTAACAGTAACCTCTTCACACCTTGCACAAAAAGGATTCAAATAAATTGTAAAAGAATGTTTGCTTCTGAGATCACCATTAATAAACTCACACAATTCAATTGCATTATGCATTTAACCTCCAGATAGTCTTTACTTACTTAGTGAGAGCCTGTTCCTGAAAAATTTCTGAGCCCTGCTCCATATTACTTAAAGTCTTGTTAACCTGTTGGAACAGCAGAAATTATATAATTCAGATTCTCTCAAGTGCACCTGTACATAGCAAAGCAGTACATATGGGATACTTCAGTGCTTTCCTTTCAATTTCTGTGATTCTTCCACTGCAAAAAAACAGGAGAAGGGAAATGATTACAGACTGCAGTGGGCAACATGAAAGCTTCAGGAGTAAGTTCAGGTCTAGCAGCAGCTCCTACACTTGGTGCAGCAGTGAGATAGTAGAGGTGTTGCTGGCTTGAAGATATTTTTGGATTTCCATGAGGAAGAATTTGACTTGGATCATTCTCTGCTAGTGATAACAGTGATCTGCTCCAAAACACACAAATGTTTGCCATAACATAAATTTGCCATAATTTCATGGGTCCATTCAGCAGCCATTTCTCCAGTGTCATAGTGCAGAGGTCAAATTCCATATCTTCATAATTAAGTTATACTGAGCCATAATTGCTCTCAAACACATTTTTGGACTCATTGACTATTTGCTGCCTTGTGCTGCAAATGCAGCACGGGGACACACAGCACTCAAGCATCTTGGTGGCAAGACAGAGTCTGATTCTGGGAACAACCTGGGTCTGTGGGTCTGAAGGAACAGAGACCTGGAGAAAGCCTGGGTGCGTGCAAGGACAGGAACCTGTCACAGACTCTCAAAGGATGGATATCAGCACGTACAGCTATGTGGACACCAGTGCATGGCACCTGAGGCACAGGACCTCTGATTCCACAGAGGACGGGCACGTGAGGTGACATAGGTACAGGATCACCATCCTTGAATCCATCACAGAATCATACAGGTTGGAAAAGAGCTCTAAGATCACCATGTCCAACCATCAACCCACCCACCACCCCCACACACCACGTCCCTCAGTGCCACATCTCCACGGCTCCTGAACACCTCCAGGGATGGTGACTGCCTGGGCAGCCTCTGCCAGTGCCTCACCACTCTTTCTAAGAAGAAATGTTTCCTAATATCCAACCTCAACCTCCCCTGGTGCGACTTGAGCCCATCACCTCTCATCCTATCACTGTTACGTGGGAGAAGAAGCTGACCCCCCCCCTCACCACAACCTCCTTTCTGGGGGTTGTAAAGAGCGATAAGGTCTCCCCTGAGCCTCCTCTTCTCCAGGCTGAACAATCGCAGTTCTCTCAGCCGCTCCCCATAAGAATGTTGCTCCAGACCCCTCAGCAGCAGCACCTGAGGTGACACAGCAGCAGCTGCGGCTCCGAGACGGAGCGGCACCCGAGGCGACCCAAGCACCGCGGACGTGCCGGTCCGGGACACCCCTGGATGAAGGAACACCGGCGGAACTCCGCAGACCCTCAGCGGAGCCCTCTCCTCCCGTTACCTGCCGCTCCTCCCGCCGCTCCCTCCGCACCCTCGGTCTCCGTGGCCGCAGCGCAGCTCCTCGGCCCGCTCACTCCCGCGCCCCCATCCCGCCCCGGCTCCCGCCCGCCGCCCTCCCCGCCCGCTTTGCCCTGCGGCCGTTGCTGACAACGCCGGGTGGCTTCGGCCGTCGCCGCGGCAACGCGGGGTGAGGCGGGAGAGCGAGCGGTGCCGTGAGGGGAGCGGCGGGAGCCGCGCGGGACAGAGCCGGGGCAGAGCGAGCTACGGATTATGAGCGATGTTTTTAAAATGTCAGATTAAAATAAAAGTGTATGCGGAATTTCAAGGAAGTCCGTGATGGAGTTTGCTCTCTCAGACTTAAGCGCAGCCTTTGACTCTGTGTTATACAGAATTCTCCGGGGGAAGCTGCAGCCCGTCGCTGGGATCCGTGAGCTCATCGTCAGGATGGCCGTGCCCACAGAGCGGTGGGGAATAGACTTAAATCCAGCTGGCCACCGGTCATTAATGGTGCTCCCCAGGTGTCCGTGCCTGTTATGCTCAGTATCCTTACTGCGGACATGGATGAGGGCACTGAGTGCACCTCAGTAAGTTTGCAGATGACACCAAGTTGGCTGGAAGTGTTGATCTGCCTGGTGTAGCAAGGCCCTAAGAGGGATCTGGGCAGGCTGGAGAGCTGGGCCAACAGGATGAGGTTCAACAAGATGGAGTGCCAGGTCCTGCACTTCGATCATAACAACCACAGGCAATGCTACAGGCTTGGAGCAGAGCAGCTAGACATTGCACCTGTGTGGAGGAAATGGATATGGGGGTGTTGGTCGATGCTCGGCTGAACATGAGCCAGCAGTGTGCCCAGTTGGCCAAGAAGGCTATTGACATCTTGGCTTGAATCAGAAACAGTGCTGCCAGCAGGAGCAGGGTGGTGATCATCCCTCTGTACTCAGCACTGGTGGGGCTGCACTTTGACTCCTGTGTTCTGTTTTGGACCCCTCACTACAAGAAAGACATTGAGGCTCTGGAATGAGTCTGTAAAGGGCAGTGAAGCAGTGAAAGGTCTAGAGCACAAGTCTTACGGGGATCAGCTGAAGGAACTGGGATTGTTCAGCCTGGAGAAGAGGAGGCTCAGGGGAGATCTTATCGCTCTCTACAACCCCCAGAAAGGAGGTTGGGGTGAGGTGGGGGTTGGCCTCTTCTGCCACGTAACAGTGATAGAATGAGAGGTGATGGGCTCAAGTCGCACCAGGGGAGCTTGAGATTGGATATTAGGAAACATTTCTTCTCAGAAAGAGTGGTGAGGCACTGGCAGAGGCTGCCCAGGCAGTCACCATCCCTGGAGGTGTTCAGGAGCTGTGGAGATGTGGCGCTGAGGGATGTGGTGTGTGGGGGTGGTGGGGTGGGTTGATGGTTGGACATGGTGATCTTAGTGCTCTTTTCCAACCTCTAAGATTCTATAATTTCTAATACTGCCAGGTACAGCTGCTGCAGTGTTTCATGGCTGCCTTGCAGCAGCTGTGACCCAGGCTGCATTGTGGCTGCATTGTGCTGGAGCTTTCCTTGGGGGCAGGCAGCCAGACCCACAGGGAAGGGAGGAGGAGGCTGAAGAATTTGCTGCACTCCTAGCCCTGAAAACATTTTCTTCATGACACCCATTTGTCCTAATTACTGCTGTAGGAAGAATGTGAAGAAATGATCCTGAAACATTTAGTTATTGGTGCCTGAAATATTTCATTTATAATTTCTTGCATGGAAATGTTATTGTAAGGGTTTTTTTTTGTTTTGTTCTGTTTTTTAATGAAGCCCCACCACCTGCTCTCTTCCCTCCCTCTNNNNCCCCCCCCCCCCCCCCCCCTCCGAATTTTATAATTATTTACTTACTTAAAATACATAAACTTAGGATTTAAAATATGTTGTAGAAATAATTTGCAGTGTAACTGTCAGCAAATTTCCCGTTGTTCATTTGAACAACTGAAGTTAACTTTTCAGCCCTATTCCCACTGGGCTCATTTTAATTTCCTACCTGTCTCATACCTTCTCAGTGGTAATCAGTTATTCAGAAATTTAACTTCCCTCTATCATGCCCAAATAAAATGTGAAAAAAACCTCAACATGCACACAGAAAAATAATTTTAAAATGACATATCAGTGCTTTAAAAGCTTTTCTGAAGGACAGTTCCCACTGCATTTAATCAGAGTTGTGTTTCTAACTCCTGGATGCTCCCTTGAATATATCATTTGCTATATTAAAAAAAATCTCCTACAATATTTTTGACATTTTCAATTTGCTTTTGCTCATGAACATTATCTTTTGACTAGAGCTTGTTAATGAGAACAAAAATTTTCACTTGTTGACTTGAAAAAGGTAATTAGTGGTATTCAAAGCAGATGGAGAGGAAGCATAATAAGTGCAAAATAATTAAAGATTTTGTAAAGGATATTTATACATACATTAAATTATGGTAGCCAGTAAAATAATAAAGAAAAAGAAACTACTTTAAAGCCTGCAAATTAATGGAAAGATACAAGCACAATTCTGCAGGAAAAAAAGAGGAGTTATTTCAGGTCAGGGACAAAACTGGTATGACCAAATGTAAAACAAGACAAGGCACAGCACTGAAATTAAAACAAACAAAAAAGGAAAATTAGCAAGGCAGATACTCACAATCAGAATAACCAGGCAACAAGAGACGCTTGGATTTTGTGTTGAGGGACATGGTTTAGTGAGAACTATTGCTGATAGGTGGATAGTTGGACTGGATGATCTTGTAGGTCTTTTCCAACCTTGGTGATTCTATGATTCTGTTATTCTGAGAGTATAGGCAAATCCAAATATTGGCCAGGGGGTACAGTGATGTATAGCTTCAATAGGAAACCCCTTGCTCAGGCTGGTCCTGGGATTCATGAAGCAAAATGAGATTAACAGCTCTAGTAGAAGAACTGGAAGAAGCTGTATGAAGAGAGTTGTTCATTTTTCAATATCTGCAACTCTGAATTGCCAGATTCTTCTCTTTTTTTTGTAGCATTGCATCACGTTAATGATGGGTAGGCATCCTGTCTGTCCACCTAACAGCATATGCCACAGCTGTTCCTGTTTTGGAGGGAACCATTGAAAGTGAGTCTCTTCAAACAGGATGTGTTTTGCCACTGTTGCGGGCAATACATGAATTGCAGAGCTTTCTTCAACAATGTTTGAGAAGCATGTAGTTATTTTAAGACACAATGCTGAAAGGCAGGCAAACTAAATTCCGTTGCAATTCTACTCCACCAATAAATTGTATTAAGAGCTTTTGAAGAAGTCCTAAGTAAATTGAAATGCTTTTAGTCTTAGTAATTATGCTGAGAATTTAGAACACAGAATCATACAATCACAGAGCAATGGAGGCTGAAAGGGACCTCAAAGGATCATCTGGTCCAACCATTGCTGGAAAAGGGCACCTGGATAAGATTATACAGCACCAGTGCAGTCATGTCTTGAAGATTTCTGTCACATCCCTGGAGAATTTTTTTCAACAGTTGGTCGTTCTCACTATAAGAAATTTCTTTCTTTAATTAAGACTTATTGCCCCTTGTTCTATCCATGTGACTCCTTGTGAAAAGAGAGCCTCCATCCTTTTGTAGCCACTTTGAACATACTGGAATGAGGTCCTCCCTGGCCCTCCAGCAGGGCAAAAAGACTTGACTCCTTCAGTTTGTCAATGATGTTTCTGAAATGTGGGGACCAGAACTGGATGTAATACTCCAGGTGCAGCCCAACAAGTGCTGAGTGGGACATTTTTAATAATAAATTAAATCAGTAACATACATAACAATAATTATGTAACATATAGCATATAACATAACATATTTCCAGAGCAGAATAAAAAAAGAAGTGGAATTTAAGTGATAAAATGACAGATGGTCACCTTTCCTTGATAGCTGTCACTTGAATTCTTTAAGACACTTTTGTTGTATAATATATAACAATAGGTAAAGGGCAAATGCTTTGTGTATTTAACTCCAGATATAGATTTTATTTTATTTTATTTTACTTATTTATATATATTGATACTGTCTCTTGCAATCTCAGATGACAAACCTGTGTTAGAGAAAAACCCTTTTGTTGCAAGAGACAGAGTCTAGCTCTTGTAAGAAACACACATGTGAAATTGCTTTCTTTGGTGTAGGAATCACACTGTTTTATTAACACTTACGTGATGGATTCACAGCAGCTCTAAAACAGTTTAATAATTATATTCTGTGTGTTCGTTTGGATGTTTATGAACATATCAACTAAATTTAGGGGAGCTCTTTTAGAAGGTACAGATGGAAAGGAAAAGGAGTAGCTCAGCATAAGCCATTTGTCAACAAAAAAAGACAGCAGACAATAAAACCTATGGCAAAATTCCTAAGTTATAAAGGTGGCAAAGGGCCCAGAGCATCTTCCATATGAAGAAAGGCTGAGTAACCTGGGTTTGTCCAACTTGGGGAAAAGAAGACCGAGAAGGGATCTGATAAATGTTTATAAATACCTGAAGGAAGGTGGGAGGCAAATGGATGAGGCCAGGCTCTTCTCGGTGGTGTGTAGCGATAGGACAAGAAGTAATGGCCTAAAACTTGATCATAGGGAGTTCTGTACAAGCATGCAGAAGAACTTTTTTTATGGTATGCATGATGAAGCACTGGAACAGGTTGCCTGGAGAGGTTATGGAGTCTCCTTCTATGGAGATATTCAAGACCCATCTGGATGCCTGCCTATGTGACCAATTGTAGGGAACCTGCTTTAGCAGGGGGTTGGACTCGATAATCTGTTGAGGTCCCTTCCAATCCCTGCAATTCTGTGATTCTGTGATATAAGCACTGAGATAAGAACAATATTTTAGAAACAACTTTTGAAAGAGAGAGGTTTTTTTTGTGTGTGTGTTTGTGTGTGGGTTTTTTTGTTTGTTTGTTTGTTTTTTAAATTAGACAAGCATAAAATCAGCCTAAGGATTCTGAAGGTACCTACCTAATTTACTGGCAGGAGGTGATAAATCCTGACATAATGCATTGATAGGAGCAGAGTCCTACTTCTAAATGATTTGCTTCAAGTTTAAGCTGAAAAGTGCTGTTCTTAAGCAGTTTATAAGATCACAGAAGGGATGAAGGGAAAGAATTTGGATTTAGTTGGATTTGCCAGGTAAACTGATTGGTAACACA